TGAGTAGCTTTGAGATAAAAGTTTACGACGATAATATCCCGATTCCACGATGTGTGTGATAAAAAAACCCTTTAAAAATGGTTTTAGATGAAATCGGATTCTTATTAGATATCTAGTATATTATTATAATAAATGATCGTACTCATCACACAATACGATTTGTTCTGGGTGGGAATCGAATTCACGACCTCTGGCTTAGCAGTCAGGGTCACTAACTACTAAACCAACAGGCCAGTTATAAAGCTTTGTCTGCTGCTCATTTGAATAACACTATTTTTTACGTTTTATCTATCTTACTACTATTAAGTACGGGACAACGTCATCAAAAGTTTATAATATATGATACAAGATAAAAGTACTGTTAATGACTTTTCAAGGCAAAACTAATACCAAGATTCGTCCATTATATAAGAAATCTATGATTAGGCGTCTGCTTAAAGTACATTTTGTAAGTATTTTTTTCGTTTCCAAACTTTTTCGCATTCCGTACTAACTATTTTACTTATTATGGTTTTTACAAATTATTCTAAAACACTTACGCTTCGTATTTATCGTATCGTAATTATATTTCTAAAACACTTACACTTACTAAAACGTACTAGGGCCACAGGGTTAACAGATGCTATTGAAACAATGATAGCTGAATGAAAACTAATTTAATATTACAACACTTTACCTCGAGCTTATTGCTAAGTCTACGTTACTATAGAATTATTTTCAACGTAATAGCCGAGTCTAATGCCTTATGTAATACAGGGCGTTTCGTTCACACAAAGGGCTGAATCCTGGGCTTCAATAATGCTCACAAAACAATGACAACGAGAGCTTTGTCTGCTACTTCATTTGAATAACAAATGGCGACGTTTGATGTTTCTTACTACTGTTATATACGGGATAATGTTATCAAAAGTTTATATTTTGCGACCTGATATACTTTAAAATACTTAGTTTTTGGATCAGGTTAATATGTAATTACGTACGTATTTCGTGAAATCCACTTATCGCCGAGAAGCGTACGGATTTCTTTATAGCAGTAGATGTAATAATACGAGTATCAACATAGTATTATATTACTTACTTTGGTTATCCCAAATTGGAAATCTTATCGGTAACAGACAAGAATTGACCACCATGGCAAGGATCTAGCCTGACAAAAAATCTCTCTCTATTGTTTTAGTCAGCTACATCAGAAAACTTCTTTGTCGTGATTTTATTAATATTTTACACTTTTTACGCTTACTACTTTTTATCAAGTATCAAAGCCTACGTTACTTAAATACCCCACAAGTGTTGTAAATGTTGTCTTTTCTAAAGAAAAAAAAAATTATTATTACTACAGACTGGTTTAGTAAAATTTTGAACTGATGGAAGGCCAGGTAGCTGGGAACACTCAAATACTCCGAAATATTTAATTCCGAATTATGATGTACCGATTTTCAAAAGTCCGAATTTCATAATATCTAATTATTACCTATAATGAATTTTATTAAAATCCATGATAGTTAATTTATAGAAAGACGTAAATGGGATTTGTTTGTTTTTCGATTTTTATACGTTCAAAGAATCAAATGTTATGATGATAATGCGATGATATGCCGATTTTTAATACTTCTAATAAATTGCTAAAATTACGATTCTAATTCTGATTCAGTTAGTATAATATTCAGTTACACATATATTTTCAAAATCGTTCATTATATTAAAACATTACTTATACGTTTAATGTTATTTAAGAACGTCTACTTTATTACTGTTACTGATTTTTTTGTGGTTTCTTCTTCTTCTTATACCTGTGTCGCGTATCATCTACTATTTGTGAATTCTTTGGGTTAGGTTAGAACAGTGGCGATTAACGCCAGACACTCTCTAGTATTGGTAAATCATTTGGGTTAGGTTAGGTAAGAAAAAATTAAATTTTTGAATCATAATAATAGAATGAATGATAAATCGGAATTGTTATACCTATTCGGAATTTTTAACCATTCGGAATTATGAAAATCGCTGTTTTGAAATTCGTATTTGTGACTGACGGAATCTGTCTGTTCTTCTGTTCTGTTGTTCTGTCGGATTTGGATTATACATTCGTTACCGTATTATCCATAGCTTTAATTTTTTTTAAATAACGTGTAAAGTGATGCAGTTTATTTTAATTTATATATTAAACAACTTATTATTTGTTGCCTTTTTTTATTTCATCCAATCATAGTTAGATAACAGATTACGAGAATATGTGAGAATAAATTACTTCAATTTTTTTGATAACTAGGACTAGGAGTTATTACCTACTGCATAAAATTAGACGGGTTATTGCTGCGGCGCCGACGGCTATTAACCCACTATTAAGAGCATATCGGAGTATCTAAATTTTATATGATGAACCTGTTTTAAGTACCAAAGCAACAAATTTCTCTACGGCCGACGAGAACTCATGGGGAGTCAATTTTAATAAAACCCACATGCGTAATAAACATTTACTTCTTTATTAGAATAAAATAATAATTAAAACTAATGGGTCACATAAAGTTATGAATAATACAAAATAAAACTTAATTTTTAACATAAATTAATACGAAGTAACTATATAGAGATGCGGACACCTTCAACTGTAATCATCATATAACATTGATAACCAATCTAAAATGAAATCTGAACGTGGTATGATTTTGTACGTCTACATGTGAGATCAGGACGCTCAAGACTTTACATACATTATTTTATTTTGCCACCCTTATTAATAGGATAATTGACGAAAGAAGAGGGAGTATAGGGAGGGATATTTCAAGGATGATGTTCGTAAAACTAAGCCGTAACAACTTATACTAGTCACGAGTACAGAAGTATTCAAAGACATTTTAAAATCAGTGTTTTAATATTTAAGTACACACATGACGTACTCTAATACTTTCTACAATGTTTAACATCTACCAAGGGGTAAATAATGAGGTATTTGCTTTACAAAGTCAATAGATTATTGACTTTGTTGTTGTCTTTTCATTTCTTTTTTTATAAATAGCAATTATTGATGCCCAAATACATACTATCCGACTATCCGATAAAATACTATTTAAATTGATACGACTTGAAAAAGTTAATTTTAGTTAAAAATACCAAAGTTTTTTTTTCTATGTTAGAGGGACGGACGAGCAGACCTTATGGAAAGAGACCATCGCCGCCTATGAACGTCTGCAACGCAGGAGTCACAAACGCGTTGCCGGCCCTTTAGGAAGGTGTACGCTCTTTTCTTAAAGGTCTTCTTTTTCTCTTTTCTAGTTATTTAACAAAATATATTACCTACGCAGTTTACTATATTACAAATAATAATTTATTATTAATCTTAGAAAAGACTAAAATAACAAATCTAGTGTGTATTATCTTTTATTTGTTTAAGTCTGTTCTTATCTTTTATTTGTTCAATCCCGAATTGCAATATTTTTGTATAATAATCAAATGCATATAACGATATTGATAACGAGATTTAAGATTTTATTTATATCGAAGCACAGCTGTTATGGTCTCGAGTATCTGTCAAAAAGAAAAAGAATGGACACAATATAAGCGATTACACACTTCATTTGTTTCCCAAACTATAAAAAGGAATGGTTGCCTGGAGTAAAATTGATATTTATGTAAGTGAAGCCGTCACAGTATTATTTATATAATATGGTCAATCTTGAGACTAGTGTGTTTACGTACCTATACATTAAACTTCTTACATGACAAATGACAGAATGGATTCGGTAGGCATACAATACGTAACTGTTTGCTTACTAAATTAAAATAAACATAGAATATTAGATATATTTTCAAGCAGCTAACTCAGAAAAGTAACACATTTGTTAATGTGAAATATACGTATGTGTGTAAAGTATCTCTTTATTTTTCTTTGGTATTCACCCTAATAGTCAATACCAAAGTGAAATCATATGTAATGTTCATATAATTATATTGTACCGAACAGATTTTTAATTTCAACCCGATATTATTAAATAGAATATATATAATTCAAAACCATGATCTATGTCGTAAAGCGAAACGTATGTATAATAACAAGTAATTCTAAAACCTATTTTGAAAACGATACAGCGATTTTGTTAAACCAACTTGTCGTTAAACATAGGCATCTTAGAATAAAAAGGCTATCAAATCAGCGATAAAATATTGGTAAAAATCTACTATCAACTATGATAGCAATTTGTGACATAAATATAAATACTAGGGGTTATTCAGAGTAATATATATATAGTATTAGGTTATATAGTAGTAGAACACAAGACAAAGCAGAAGGGTATTGGTATTGGCTTTAGATTATAGAGATGATATGAAATATTGCATTATTTCCTAGTGTATTGCCCAAGCAAGAGCTAAAAAATAAATTGTACTACTAATATATTTACAAACAGCGTAGTCAAAACTCCGTCTGTGTGGTGACGGATTAAGAGTACGGAGTGTCACCACCACTATTCATCCCGTGGGTGTCGTAAGAGGCGACTAAGGGAGCTAACGTAGGATAACCAGCACTGCAAAGAGAAGGAAAACTTGACACAAACCCTATACCAACCCGTCTGGCCAGCGTGGTATAATAGGCCAAAACCTCCTTTCCAAGGAGAGGCCCATGTCCAGCAGTGGACTATTAAAGGCTGTTGATGTGATGATGTGATGTGATGTAGTCAAAACTTATACATACAACCAAACTGATGGTAAAGTGATTACAGGTGACAAAATTTTAATATTAAAATGTATTTCCAATCTCACAATGTCACGCTTTCTTTCTTTATGCGATTGACTTATTTCAATTAACATCACATTGATGGAAATACATTACGAACATCTCTAGAGTAATTTATTTAGCGTCCTATGTAAGCTAGTCAAATAGAGTCTGTAACTAATTTTTAAACAATCGCAAACAAACATAGATAATATCTATGTTTGTTCAACAATTATTTATATTATATATATTTGTTGAACTGTGTTTCTGCCGTATACATATGACATTGAGCAATCTAGAAAGGTAGCTGTGTCAGTAGCGCAACACCTCTCATGATCCAATGATCAGGTGTTTCCTCTGTAGGCAGGCGCATGAACAGGATATAGTTAGTGGAGTGACCGGTAGTGGACAACACACCGCGTCGATCGCCGGTTTTATATAGAGGACAGTTGTAAAATATATCCTTAGGAATGTCAACAGTCTTCAATGGTATCAACCACACCTGAAATAAATACAAGCTCTGTGTAAATAAACCAATAATTTTTCAACAATAATGTTCATAAGACATTCATATATAAATCATAGACAAATTCGATACTTGGAATATTAGTATCGCTTAAGCCGTAGACTTTTCTTAATACGGATTATTTACAGATAAAATAACTGCTTTAATGTATGAAACGTGAAATTAGTATTTTGTATACTTTAGAAGTCAGTTTGCTAACATATAGAAGAGTTAATTTCAAAAGTGTTATTCATGTTTAATGGAATAGTAAAACTTAAAATACACAAATATTCACCAGAATGTATCTTTGTTGTATATTTACAATGTTTGGAGTTTTATAGTTTATTTTTAAAATTGTTATCTAAGATACAGTTTTTAAAGTATTACGTACCGGTGGGAATTCATCGTAAAGTACTTTAGGGTGGGACTCGTCGACGCACATTATATCCATGTTCCAGCGCGCACCTTCCATGAACAGACCATTAATATACACGCCTTCTTCAGGTACTTCTTTGATATTCCACTCTTTTTGAACCTGTATGATCATTATTAAATGCATTTCAATTTACTACATGATTTTCATGGCATAACTCGACGGGGGAGCGGTGCAGCGCCTGACACCGACGCGGAAGGTCGCGTCGCGTCACTCCCTTAAATGGTTTTCCGTCGAGTCCGAAACTCAGACACTCGAGTAAAACCACTTATCTTTTGTAAATATGAATACCACTCTCAAAAGTTTTTGTTGGATTGTAAAATTTAGTACTATTAAGTGAAAACCCTATTTGAGCGACAACTGTTGTTTACAATCACTAATTGAATCAGTAAGTATATTTTTATAATGAAATATCACGATTAATATAAGTACGAATATAAGTAATATTATAATGAAGCAAATAACAAAGAGTGGCCATTAAATGTTGTTAACATAAGAAATAACATATATTTCTTTAAATCAACCATCTTTTTCGCAAGTCAACTTCCATTAGGTATAGGTACCTAGGTTTGGTAATTTTAGACATAATAATAATAATTTCACATCTCGCCTGTGCTGTGGTAGCACACATCTCACACACACACACACACACACACACACACACACACACACACACACACACACACACACACACACACACACACACACACACACACACACATCTCGCCTGTGCTGTGGTAGCAAGACTGCTGATAAACGTTCTTATATATTTTTAAATATATTTCGATTATATGTAAATAACACCCAGATACAGATGAATCGAATGAATGAATGAGTCGTGCTTATCATATAATTACTGGCTGGGTAATGTATTTTGTTTTTAAAATGATATATATATAAACATTACAGCGTAGTGGAAGGCGAGCTGATCTATAGGTATCTTGTACTTGCGGGCGTAGCTCTGCTGCGCCGCCGTTAGGAACGCTTGTGGGAAGTAGAAGCCCGACAGCCAGAATACCACAGGAGGACCATTTGTGTGCCAGTGCTATAATATAAAACAATTTTTCTTAAATTTAACTAACTTTCTATGATACGCTTCTAACATTGTCAATATCAACCAAAATGCTTACTATATGAGACAACGAGTCCTACTTAGAATTAATACTACGACTTTTCAAACTCTCAAATATAAGGCATTATGGTCCATCTAATCTAAGAGGTACCGTTTGACAGTTCTGACAGATTGAAGATTAAGGAGGGGGTCAAAGAAATGGATAGCTACCATATCCGATTCTTATGAGATATCAATATAATTTTTTTGTATTTACAAATCGATTCCAGTTTTACACATTTATACATATACTAGCTGACCCGCGCAACTACGTCTGCGTCTCGCAATAGTAAAACAAAATTCTCCGTTTTTGAAACATTCTTCGTTGGTGCTCCGCTCCTATTAGTCTTAGCGTGATGATATATAGCCTATAGCATTCCTCGATAAATGGGCTATCTAACACTGAAAGAATTTTTCAAATCGGACCAGTAGTTCCTGAGATTAGCGCGTTCAAACAAACAAACAAACTCTTCAGATTTATAATATTAGTATAGATATACATGTGTAAAACTGTAATCGATACTTTACTGTATAAGCCCGTATATAATTATGTCTTAAGCTTTACTAGTAAATCTATATAATAAATGTCGACATTACAATGTAAATGATGATCGGTAAAAACAAATGAACTTCTATAAAAAAACAACCACAAACCTAGTAAAGACAAATAAATAACACAAGGCCTAGTTTTAGGAACAATTGATTGTCAACAATGGGCATTAGATAAACTTATTATATTAATAAATAATTTACGCAAAAAATAAATAAAATGTAGTTTCATCCCCAGTACGCTACGTACGTTTTTGCGAGAGTACCTGAGCAACATTCGATTTGCAGCTAACTTAATTGGTGCAGACTGCTAGTGTATGGCGCGTATTGTAAATACTAAAAGATGTCTGGATTGAAAATGGCAGGTTATTAATAAGTTCGATTATTCTTACATTTTAACGATCATTGGTATACAAGTGTGTTTGAATAGTCACAACACTACGGTAAAGGACCTAACTACGTGACTTTGAAACGAAGTTAAAAAAAAATATCTATTGTTTATATTGTTTTTTTTTTTTGCTGTTTAAAATAATAATAAATCCATGTTTTTTTTTAATTATTTGAGTTACGCCAATACAAATTTGTTTCGACTTGAAAAGTATGAAACGTCAAACGGTACCTCTTAGATTAGATGGAATATAAGTGTGGAAGTTGAATATCCAGCGTACCTGTAAAAACGCTAATCTCGCAAGAAGGTCATCAAAGTAAGCAGCAAGCGGCTTGAGCGACGGGTAGCTCTTGCCAGCCCACAGCGAAGGAATACGACCGCGGACCATGCTTTGCAGAACCTCTTCAGTTATATCGTTTAACACGCTTACACCTAAAGACAAGTCAAGAATTGTGTGCCATTAAATAAACTTCACCGAATTTTCATTTATATTTAACATATAAAGCTAACAATACGGTAAAGGATCTAGATAATGTAGCTAGTTCCTGTATCGCGCAGATTAACTTTTTTCGTACAATGAAAAGTTCCATCTGTATATTATATTCAATACATTTAATGAATAGGATTACATTTATTTACTAGTGAAATAGTACAAACTTACCTTGTACGGCTCCAATGACGGCTACTGCGCTGGATCTTACAACTTTGACGAGACGGTCATATCTGGCGGCCTCTTGAATGACTACAATAGACATTGGGGTCATGTCGGCAGGCTTTATGTCGCCCTCATGCGAAGGCCCCGTTAGGATCTCTTTCGGTAGACGAGCAAGTACATCTTCAGCTATCGCCATGGCTTGCTCTTCTGGAGTAGCTCCCGCTGCTCCAGCAGTCATAGTATCCTATTTAATAGTAATAAACAGAGTTGTAATCATAAGTTGTTATTAATTTCATTTAATTTTTAATATTCCTTTTAAGATTTAAATCCATATACAAACCAAGACAGTGTAACTTAACTCCAGCAACTTATAGCAATAAGAAGGTAAAGTTAATTATTTTATTACACCACTGTAGTGTGTAAGTATAGTGTGTTGCATTTGTACGTATTTGCGTAATTTTAATATCTTATTCTATTTGTGATACTAATAAATGGCAACTTTAACAAACTTGACGTGTTCTTTCTATCGAACCTCTGACCGCGTATCTACACCAAAATACAACACACCATACACATCCATAACCACTTAACGGGACTATAACTCTAAGATGCTAAAAAACAAACAGATACACAGAAACGCAGGCACAAAAAACACAGATATACAGATCGAGACACACAAACAAAAACAGAAAAAACCCACTTTGGTTTTGGGTTTAACAATATATGATAATAACATGCTCAGTACACATACAGTAACCACTATTGTTTTCAAAAAAGACGGCAATATGAAAGATCAAATATTCGCATTGTTGATATTAGCAGTAAAGTAATGGCATAGTTGTGGTATAAGTGATGCTTTTGATTTTAAAAACACACACACACCTACAAGTAATACGAAGAAACGCAAACGCAAAATTTCACAGGCGACAGAAAAACAAAAGCACATATATGTCTTTAGGATGAATGGATCAGCCGATAATTTACTTACCAAATGTTGTCTATAGAGATCCTTAAAGCATAAAAAATTAAAAAAGTTGTATTAATTGAAGATTAATCGATATACAATACAACCATATCATTAAATGTCTACTTACCCTTCGGTCCTACGAATGTCCGGTGTGAATGATGAGTGAAACAAAAAATACTGCATTAGGTACTACACTAATAAATCTGCTAATGATGGTCAGTCTACACATCTAATTTATTTTTCTCTCAAATATTGCATGTCAAAATATATTAGTAAATGTCAAAATATATTTGCGCGAGTTCATACCGAAGATAGTTTATTATCGAGTAATTAGATTGCACGCTTAGTGTTTTACGAAAAAAAAACCATTCTAAAATCAATGAATCAAATCAAAATAACTATCTAATCATGAATGAAAATACTATAAAAATACAAAACCCTAATCACTGACGAACCACCTAGCGTAATCAAACTCAACAATAGTTGATTTTGGTACATTACTAAACTGGTCATTTGAAACTAAATAAATCATGATCTAAACAAAAATTGACGAAAAAAAAATGGTATGTAGGTGTGATATTTATTTTTCAATGTCTACGAAATTTTCAAATTTTTTGCGTGATGCGTCCGGTCTGAGTCTAAATATCAACCTTTAGTCTTAATATTGAATAGGTTGTACTTTTTCAAATATATCAAACCTATGCCTATGACATGTGTAGTAGTACAAAATAAACTGTATAATAATTTATTAAAATAAAATAGAAACTGCGCAAATTTTTTACTTTATTTCATTTAATTTATGTTACCTGTGTCAGTATAGCCGTACTTAACAATTCTTCTGCCTCTCGGTAATGCTTGGTTATATCCGCGTTAGAGTGGAACCCAAACACAGAGGGTGGAGTTTGCGCTGGTAGTGACCGTGCGAAATGTATGAAGTCTGAATGTTCCTTTAGGTTTGGTATGTAGTATATACCTGGCGTTGTGTAATCAAAATGTTATCATTAAGTTACCAATATAAACTACTTCTTGAATTTTAGAAAGTTATTAAATTACATTAAGAACTTTCACATCACATCACACATCAACAGCCTTTAATAGTCCACTGCTGGACAGAGGAAGAACTCCTCTCCTATTATCCCTCCTTATTATTATTTTTTAATTAAGGCGAGATCTGTGGATCTGAGGATCGCATATTAAAGTCGGATGAAGTGAATTATTTTTTTTATTTTTAACTTTAAATCAATACTAGCTGACCCGGCGAACTCTGTTCCGCCTTAAAGGCAATAAATAAGCCGATTTTCGAATTTAGTAACTTAATTTATTTCTTAGAAAAAAAAATGAAGTACATTAATCATTTGCATTTCAGTACATAGGTTGCTCTTCACTTAAGTACCTTGTGATACACGACATTTTTGTTTTCTTATCAGGCGCAAAAATAAACAACGCAGATGATCTTCCGACCAATACTCAACGTTGCAATGTGTCTTTAACGTTTTAGAAATAAGTGGCGAATATGGAACAATCCAAATGTTGTCGACAACGAAATCCATTCTTTTCACCTTTGTTGTGACAGTTCCACCGTTGTCATCTGGTGATCGACGCCGATACAAATAAAAAACGGAATAAATAGTATCCTATGTCCATCTCCTGGCTCTAAGCTACCTCCTCACCAATTTTCAGCCATATCGGTAAAGCCGTTCTTGAGTTATAAATAGTGTAACTAACACGACTTTCTTTTATATATATAGATTAACAAGATCACACTTGCCTGATGGATCCAGTGGGTATTTATCTTCGTCCGTAGTTCTTGGGTTGTAGAACTTGTAGAGTATAGTATTAAGACACCTTCTATCCCAATCATCTGTGACTCGTCCACCGTAATTACATTCGCCAGTAAGATAACGAAGCGCCACAAATTGGATATCCTGATAGATACATACACAAATAAAACGTTTACGAACATATACATACAATACAAAAAAAAAGAGTGGCACTCCGGGAGTGAAAACATAAGTGAAAACTTGACAGTTAATTTTTTTTGGTCTTTTGAAAAAAAATGATTTTTTCGATTTAAAAAGTTCCGACATGAATATAACTAACTCACTCGTTCAGAAGCAACGAAAGAATTGCTTAATACCAGTTTTCTGTCAGGCCGTGGTATCACTACAGTCGAGTCAGCTCATTTATACCGGTTCAATTGTAATTTGTATGTGAAAATTGTATAGTCTTGTATCATCCGTAGCAACAAATATATTCTGAGACATTAATTGTATTTTCTGGGTTTGCACTACCGCGTATCGAAACCTGGCGTGATTTTAATAATTTTAAAAATAACCTGGTTTTTCACAATAGTCATCAAAGTAACTCCTCAAGTTCTTAAACAACATTGTAGCCTAGAGGAATAAACTTGTTTTCTTTTACACCTACCTCATATTCATTCAGGAACATATAAAGTTGCGTGACACTTATCCGCAAGTCGGTCTCATTAAACTCGTAACGAATGTTCCAACCGAGTGGTCCGAACTGTCGTCTTTCTTGCACCACAGCGTGGAAAAAGCACAGGGCAAATAATAGTTTCTTGAACTTCTCACTTTGGTTGTTGCCTTCAAACCATTCTGCATCGTTGATCGGATCGCTTTGGTACGAACGCGCAATGTTTGATCTAAGACCTAGATAATTAAATCATTATTATTTATATCCAAAAGAGTCGAAATAGAGAAAAAAGAAAAAGGACTCTAGGAAGAAACACACGTATTTCTAATCTGCAAATTCCAATTCCACACGCTGGCAGAGTGCCCGGCGTAGATGTAGGCTGTAGATGGCCCGAGGTATGTGTGTGGTATGGGCACCAGGGAATTCCTTTCTAGGGTATATCTGGTTCCTTGGCTATTAGTACCCGAGACGGCGTGCGGTTTTAGTCGGTTCGAGTCCGACATGCCACCGATAGGTGGTATCCGAGGGGATTTCCACACGGAAAAAAAAAAGAAGGAGGGCCTTCTCTGAAATTTTGCTGATTATTGAAATCGTATAATGTCTAGCTTTTCATTATTACATTATTATCCCATCACTTTCCTTATCCCAATATACTATCTAAAAACGAATAAATTCCCAAGTAAGGCTGGCTCATAAAAGAAGTAAGGTCAAATCTATTCCAATATTACTCATTCTACTGATCCGAAGCAAAATTTGGAAAAGAGTAGTGAAGTTATGATGATGAGTAATGTACTATGTAAACCATTTTATTTTTAAAAACTAGATGTATATGCATATTTTGAAACTATTTCAACTTTTTAGTTATATATAACTTATAAAACTAAATATAATGTACTGTTATTTTATATATATATATAACCCATCTAATTAGTTGCTAGATTAGATTAAAAGAAATATATATAAATATATAATAAAAATATATATAATATATGAATATAACTGTATTATGTCTATAGTTTTACCTTGCGGTGGCTCATTGGTCATTTTAACACCGTTCTGTAGCACGTACACCGGGAAATGATCGGCGGGGTACGAAGTTAGCCATAGTCGAAAGTCAGGATGTGTATTATCGGGATTTAAACCTTCGCAAATCTGAAGATAAAACCAATTTAGTAGTTTATACATATAAATAGATAATATGGTTATTAAATTCTTATATCTGCAACGGTCTGCAGGTGAAAGTATTTGAAATTGACTTCAACTGTTATACACATAATAATAGTATAACAGTCAGTACAGAGAGCTGAAGTCACCATGACCATTAAAGTCATTTACTGAGAATATAACATAGTAATCTTTATAGTACAGAAAGAATATAATGCCAATGAAAAATATTCATACTGGATTTATCCATAGGTGGTGTTATCGTTCCAAGCGGTTTCTTCTAGGCTACATTTACTATTTAATTGCTCTTGTCTGACATTAGTAATGGCCACAGTCCCTACGGTGTACTTGGTTAATAACTATCGTTTAACATGCTCTGTTACACTGCTCTGCTTTTGTAAATTGTGACATGACATAACATTTCTTTCATTAACAAACAGACCATAATTTTTACATGTATTATTGCATCGTAAAAAAAAATACCTTTTCCAGCATAGGCATCCAACTTTTGGCCAGATGACAGTTCTGTAACACCACCCAAGTGCCACTACGAACTCCTTCTTCAATGAGTTTGACTGCGATAGGACCTTGCCCTTGGCCCAGTGACAGTGAGAATAGACGCGAAGAGCCGAAACCCTTTTAATTTGAGTTAACGTTAATTCATGTATGATTGAGTCGGCAGAAAGGTCACATCGCTAGTACCCGACTGTTTATTTTAATATTTATGTATTTCTATGTCTATGTGTTGTATGTGTACCTACACGTCTCATGGACCTCTATAGTATAATGAACACAGTAATTTGTTTATGTATATTATAGCTAAGTTAGATTTATTTTTTATTAAAAATTTATAATAAATAAGGTCAAATTTTCTATTTTATCTCTGCACCTACTGCATCATATTTCTAAATTACTCGAAGGTCAACTGGAAGAGAATGTGCTGGGCATTAAGTCCGCCTGTGTAAAGCTTGCGCATTGGGTTATTATAACTAAATAAATAAATGTAAAAATCTTAGTAAGTACTATTAGAAGCAGATTCTACAGTTAGTTAGTTATTGTCTTGTGAATATAGCCTACGGTTTTTCAAACTCAAATAATTAATAATAAAATTACATCGGAAAACTTAAACTGAAATACTTATGTACTTAATAAACTTTATTTTAAGGTTATTGGTATCTTATCCTTTCAAATTGTGGGTACCTGATCATCAGCGAACTTGAGGAGTGTTCCCATAGGATCGGATCCAGGTGTCAACACGAATAACAGTGGAATACAGCAATGTGAATCTGCGTATGACGACGCGAGGTCAAACAGGGGCGGCTCCACAAATCTATTTCCCATTTCCTCTACACAAAAAAAAAACCTTATTTAAGTAATAATGCTTCTCCAAGCCGGCCGGTCACCGTGGGGAAACCAGACCACCACCTCCTAAACGACATTCAAGACCAAAAAAAAAAATTTACCAGCAAAAACACAAGCAATAGAAAAACATCGCAAAGCCTTTACATAGCAAGCCTCAATGTAAGAACCTTATTATCGGATAGTAGAATAGAAGAGCTAAGATACGCTGTTATGTCAATAAAATGGGACATTATAGGCTTATGCGAGATAAGAAGAGAAAAAGAATCAATAGAAGAATACAATGATTTTGGTTTAGGAGAGGCCTACGCCAAAGAGGCGACTACTACTAGTAATATATAGTTTATTATAATAAATAAGTATTTATAATAATAAATAATATATAATTTAACCTTTCTAACAATTGCATACCTTCTTTAAATAAAATATATTATAGTAATCGTAAAGAAAACGCTGTAATAGTAAGTAATAATAAGTAATCTTAAGTAATCGCTGTAATCTTAAGTATACGTTGTAATAGTACAAGTTGTAGTAGAAATAATGGCTATTTTTATTTTATTAAGTAATAATGAAAAGATATGTAAATAAATTTACATAACATTTTAAATTGACATAAATCAGAGTTCAAATCTGAAAAAAAAATAGTGCACAATGACGTGTGCATTAAGAGGTGTGTCTGTGTACACACCTCTTAATGCACACGTCATTTTTAACTGAAATGAGGCAGAAATTTAAAGATATAAATATAATGACAGTGGCAAGTCAATATATTTATGAAAATGTAATATATGTTCATAAAAACAAAGATAGCTTTTTGAAAAAAAGTGATGTACATGACATAGATACCAGAAATAAAAATAAACTTGTAGCCTCTAGGCTCCAAAAGATAAACAAGTCTTTTCGAGGTCAATGTGTCCGATTTTATAATAAAATCCCAAATAATATTCAAGAGTTAAGTATAAGAAATTTAAATCCGCAATAAAGCGTGGCTTGTGCCGGGGGGCCTACTACTCGATTGTGGATAACATGGAGGACAAGAATGCTTGGGATCAATTAGCGCAGGCTATTTCTTTCTTAAATAAAAATGTAGTGTGGCTAGTGTGTTTTTTATTATTATTATTTTTTTTTTTTTTTTATGTTTCACTTCATTTTCTCTTTTATTCCTTTTTTTTTCTTAATCTTGTTTTCTCTTCATTGTCTTTTTACCTTTTAGTCCTTAATAACGGACATACTAGCACACATCAAAACAATGTTGTGGTATATTTAATAGTGCCATTGTATCTACCTGTGAATTGCAAAAGAGTGGCCATGAGTTTGTTTGCCCTTTTTTCTCATAAGGCTCAACCCCTTGGTAACGGGCGGTTGTAGATCGGCACAGGCATATCATAGATTTTGTATGGGTTTTATTTTTGCTTAATATTTGACAAAACAGAGATTGTTGCTTTTGTGTGTGTTGATCTATGTCTTTAGAGTCTACATGGAAGACGATTTCAAACAATTTTGGAAATTTTATGAAATAAAGAAAGTTTGAGTTTGAGTTTGATCTACGATTAAGTTAATTTACAAAGAGAAAAAAATAGCAAAGTAAAGTATTTTGTCATAACTAAAGTCTTACGATATTTTTAAAGTATACCTGCTATATTGTCAATTAAAGGATTGTCTTACTCGCTGATATTGTAGGCTGCATTTTAATTTTCGAAAAATGGAAATTTATACGAAAATAATAAGAAGCCATAGAAATTAAAACTGACCTACCAAATTCATTCTTCGGTGTGGAAAAACATTATATGGACTAATGGTACATTATGTAATGTACTCTCCGTTTATCATTACCAACGGTAAAACAAGACAAATGTATATCGAGCGTACCCCTAAATAGCTTTTAACTTACAACTAATAAAATTATAATAACTATTAAAGTTTAAAAAGGTGGCATTTAAAATTCCAAATGATGCGTTAAATAAAATATAACTCATTTAACAAAAGACGTTTAAATAAATTATCTAAAAATTAAAACGATAAATACTTAAAAAAATCGAAACTCACTTGCAACAAATCCCTGGCAAGCAGGCACCATCATATCTTGGCGCAAACATCGTAAGACGCAAAGTTTCTGTGGAAGTAGCAATATCTTAAGATATTTGAAAAAAAAAAGTAATTTATGCAGAATTTAGTATACTCTAAATAGGTTAAAACAAACCGACATTAACTCATCTCAACTCACCACTCACCACGGTGAGTTGAGATGAGTTAATGTTAATGAGAGGAAAGAAGAATTAAACGCATGAAAAACTCAAAGCGATTTTAGTAAAGATGTTGAAATCTAACTAGAACAATAAACACTCAAAATCAATCACTTATCAGAGAACGTTATTATTTTTGTGATAGTAATTTTTTTGTACTAGTATGACTTTAATTAATCGTCAAAGAACTAACTTTAGTATTTAACTATATTATTTACCTCAAAGTCACTCAATTTATTATATGGTGCTGGCAAAGGTGTGGTCTGCGGAGAAGGATCATTACAATATACCTCCCACTGTGGTATATGCTTCATAAAGTGATTCAGGATGCCATGGAACTTGGGTATTTCGTTCAATCTAGGTAGCGCCAAAAAAAGGTAAACTTTTAAAATGAAACGTTTTATCTTTAATTTAATTTGAATAAAAGATTAAAAAATTTAACTATGGTCAGGCAACACTCTTTTTAATGTAGAATAGTGTCATTGTTTATTATTATTCGCTCATAAAGTTCTGGTATAACATGATATTAACCAATTTATATAATATTGGTTAATATTATGTTAAGTAGTTCGAAATTTAATCGCTGTATCATTTCACCTACTGTAACCGCGATCGGTGTAATCGTAACCTGTTAAAAATTGTCCGATAAATTTCCTATATACTTTTCCCATTTTTTAAAATACATTTCGTTATGTTCCTCAGGGAAAGAATAATAATATTTTGAGTGTCATATTTTATATTTGCACATATTGCATCATCCCAAGTAATCTGCTAGAGAAAGCCTATAACAACCGATCTAATTAAGACCTTAACTATAAATAACAGTTGCTTTAAAAATATAATGTTTAAAAAGTTTCTTACGCGTTGAAGTCCATCCAGGCCTGTGGGCTGAGGAAAGTTACAGGGTTGGGTGGAATGTTACGCGCATGTCCTCCGCCCATCAAAAATAGCACATCCGACTGTTCCAAAAGGTCCTCCGCAACCAATATTGTTACCGTCAGTAGCAGGGAAAATACAATCTTGTCCTGGTAATATAATATTAAACTAGATAACTGGGTAGTTTCTTGTGGTTCTTATTTTAAAGATCTTTTTTTTTTAATTAGTATACAAAAGAAAAATATTTAAATTAGTTACAAAAGTCGCCAAACTGTGGAACTGGGAAGTTGTATATTACTAGGGCTGTCAGAGGTTCCAAAAACATGTTTTTTCATTCTGGATCGAATTTAATGAAATCCTGTCGGAAACCGAAGCGGAACCGATTTTTTTTTACAATTAATTTAATTGTTATTAAAATATGAAAAAAAAAGTCTTGTACGTGTTCTTTTTTGTAATTAGTTCTTCTTTTTTAGTCATTCATTTTGCAATTAAGAATATAATCAATACCTGGGCAGTTAAAAAGGGTCTTCCCGACCTCGTTCATTCTAAGTCCTTTAATGTCGGCAATGACCTTTACTTTCCGCAATGAAAAACTCTAACACTGTCTGACTATGCAGAAAATGACATTCGATACCTCTGTTACGCTATATTAGTATTAAAAAAAATAACAAAAATGGAGGATATAATATAAGGATATAAGCCAGATAAGATGAAGCCGGAGCCGATATTTTGAAGACCTAATATATATATACAAGACCTTATATATTTATGAAGACAAAATATATTTAGCACCATGTTGCCACCATGATGGCGAATGCTAATTCAATACGGTGCAGAACGTATAACACACACTGTTCTGTCACGTTTCTCATTTCTTATAAAAATTATTATAAAGTGAATCACAACAGATAAATGTGTGAGAAATTAATCATTTATAAATAATCCTTTCAAACCTTTTCAAAGAGACTTCTGCAGATATTGGAGTACAGTGAGTACGTGAAATAATCACGTAAAATTTGAAGTCTCTCAGGTATTTCGTCCACCTTCTCAGTGTTGTCGATCGACGACGTAAATAGGCCTTCAAACCAGCCCAATGAGTACTGATACATGGGATCGATGTGTGCCAAGGAAGCTAAAAAAATATTTTTTTAAAGAACTGAATAATGCTTAATAATCACCATCCCAGTGTGATCAGAATATCACTAAAAGTTTTATTTTGTAATGCAGCTGAATAAGAAACTCTGTAGTTTGGTCTATCATTTCTAAAAATAATGCCTCATTCTTTAAATTGCTTTATTATTAAATAAAAAATAATAAAAGTTTGGATGAAGTATATAGTTTAATGATGATGGATATGTATAACTTGTTATTTCCAATACCGAGTGTGTGGACACACACACAAAATTGTTATTGCAAAAATAATAATAAACCCTAACCTGAAAACAGTTAAGGACGGATTAAGAATACGGAATGTCACTACCCCAATTCATCCCGTGGGTGTCGTAAGAGCCGACTAAGGGCGCAAAACCAACCAGGACAACAGCACTGCGAAAAGAAGGAAAACTTGACACAAAACCCTATACCAACTCGTCTGGAAAGTGTGTTATAGTAGGCCAAAACCTCCTTTCTAAGGAGAGGCCTATGTTCAGCAGTGGACTATTAAAGGCTGTTGATGTGATGATTTTTTTAAACCCAACTTAAAATTAATCAGCACTTTAAATGTCATCATAATATACCAGTAAGGAAAAACAAATTGGTGGAGTGAGCAGCGATGGGCACATAGTCGTCTCGCGCCACATCAATTGCTTGCTCAGTTATCATCGCTACTTCTTGCTTCTCCTTAATCTCATTCGATGTATCCTTAGCTGAGTTCAGAATCTGAAATATAATCATACATTATCATTATGTGTCGTATAACATTCAACAAAGTAAAATAATAAGTATTTAATACATATGTATTGTCCGGATTTAATCACCTGTACAGCCTCTTCATCCTCCAACAAATGTTCAGATGTAGACAAAACTGTAAGAATCTTCCTTTCGATTTCCTGCAAAAGTCTTCGATGTTCAGCACCTTGTGTAGTCAAATCTGCTTTAGCTTGTTGCAAATCAGGTCTTTCTCTGGCCACCACTCTTGCTAGTAGCTGAGCTTGTAAGCCATCTTTAGCTAACATGAAATTAACTAAAGTTACCCGGACTCCCACTTCGGGTAAATAATGTGGATTTGCCATTTTAGTGCTTATATATAGCCTGAAATATAAATCAAAACTTGTGTACCTTGTTTATAAAATTACTAAACAAAGAAAGAGTTCGATATTTAATTTAATTTAACTTCTCAACACTGTTTTAAACTTACTTGAACTCTTTATTGTACTCAACAATAGTGTCCCCAATTTTTATACACAATGCACCTCCTTGTCGGAAAGTTTGTTGCTGGAGCAACGGTTCCAACATTGGGTCTAATTCCTCTCCAACGTTTTCCAGTAAGACCTAAAAAATTCATATCATTTTCAATACACGTACTACGCACACTACTGTTTTCTAAGTTCTAAAATATGTACCGGTTGCCCAAACTGCACAGCATTTTCCAAAACTCTTCCTAAGTCAGCTTGTGATAATCTCACGATACATAGATTGTTTGGTTTTTCCATATTCTTGATCCAGCGGTTGGCTTGTCCTTGAGGGTCTATCATCAACGGCCAACGCCTTGCAGCCCTGTATCAAATATAAGATATTTAAAATCCTTTCTTGAAATCTAAAAATACAAAAAACAAACCTTAATAATCCTATAAATAAAACTCATAAATATGTAACATTAATTCTCACATAATGATTATAGCACTGGAAACACTAAAGTCATCGGCAGGCAACCCATCTATATTCCATTGTTGAATTACGACTGGTTCACCCAGCGATTTGATCAGATCGAATTCCAGCGTACACACTAGACCGCAGTTGTGACATGCATGTGCCCATGCTTTTATCTAAAATAATATTGTTTTATTTTATTATTTAAAGTCAGTAATTTGAGGATAGCTGGGAGATCGGACTAGGGATCGTCCTAAACTGCTACGAATGCATATCTTACCGCCATACTACATAAATTATCTTTCATAGATACACCTAAACAGAATCACCTATTGTGGACCTAATCGGACTATATGTATAAAATAGCCTATCGCTATATCGGCGATAATATAAGTTTCTGTCTCGTCTCTACAGAGATACAAAGAAACTGAAACTACAATCTGGTCGGAATCGGTGACGGTGACCCGTGATTGCAGAGGTCACTAGGATTAGAACATCAATGGGCCCTTTTAACGTATTCATGAAATAACAATAAATATATATATATGAAATAACAATATATATATAAACTTACTTACTTGATCATTTCTAAAAGCCGCAGTAAATGGTCCAAGGTATGCTATTACACCAGCGCCAATTAATATGTCTCCTGAAACAAAGAGGTTACTGTTTAAAAAAAAATCCTTTAATGTATACTGGTTAAGTCGAAACAAGTAACTACCATTTACAAACGATAAGATATTGGACTTTTAATTTTTTTACAATTTAACAGTATCAGATGTGGCGACTCCTACATACAAAGAAACCGAAAACATACAGCGCCTTCTAACGAAGATACACCTAACAACTCCTGAATGAGAATTCCTAATCCTGTATTAGCATACATACAACTTCCCAACATCAACCGTTGGGCCCCGGAACGCCAGGCATGTTCACCTCGCCTGGTCGGAGGATCCTCCCTTTGTGTTAGAGGGACATGACACCCGTTCCTCCTCATCAGAAGTCCAGTTAGCAATAGTTAGTCATAAATAGAAAAGGAATATCCAAGAATAATACAAGTCAAGTTTTTTACTGCGTACTACCTGTTATGCGCCAATTTTTAATACTCCCGGTCATTCATCTAAGTTTTTTTCCTATGAATTCTGATACTATTCTAGACTGGTATACTCGTACCTTTTTAGATAGCTAACAGTACCTACGTATCTACAACTGAACTGTCATATTTTTTTTCTAATTTATTGCTTTTGCTATTATCAACCAACCCAGTTTATTAAGTTAACTACGATTTTGATCATATATATTATAAGACATGTATCAAAGACACAAATATAGGAAAAAAAAAGAAAAAAAGGAAAGTTTTCAAATGCAGTGTTTAACAGTATTTATCAAACAATAAAACCATAATTTAAAACTTTCATGACGGTAACATCATTCACACAAAATGTACTTTCTAACTGTGCGACAAAGACGCATACGTAGGTACTCTGCACGGCACTTACGACATTTCTCTCGCGGCCTCGGCGCACTAGCTTATTATATTTTGGTTGTTAAACCAATCATTTCTTCGTATGATCGATGACCCCAACTAAAAGTACAAATTTATCAAACTATCATCAGACCTGCCTTCCTACACATATTTAATCGGTTCCTATAATAAGTTATTGGCTATTGATTGAACTATCAGAAAGAAAATAAATGAATGGGCATACTATAGTTTGGAAATATTAGAAAGAAATTGTTATTGTTACCTGTTAGAGAGTTATAGGTTTCGCGCAACGTTTTCGCTATCTGTGTCCATCGGGTCTTCTCGCCACCGAGTCCCGAGATCAGCATTTCCGCACGTTTTAACTTATTACTGCAATCCATTACTTCATCGTCCAAAATCTTTTGTTGACGACTCTGCGCAGCGAGAGCGTCTTCTAATCTTCTCAATTTTTGTTGCACCTGTTTCCAAAAAAATATATTACATACTAGCTTTTATCCTCGGGCTTGCACATAATAATGTCGAAATTTTCAATCAATTTTGCCGGGATAAATTAGAAATACCCTATTCCAGACTTTAATCTACCTTTCTGCCTTTCATCAGATTACGTTCTGGCGTGGCTGAATAACAAACATACATTAAATATAATAAATCAGCAGTATTCACAACTTTGGTGATAGTGAATCAATTTTTGAAAATAAATCTTCAGGCGCTTGTACATCTAAATGAATTCTATTAAAATAAATGATGACGACATTTAGTCTGAGTAAAGCCAAAACAAACTCAAGGATGAAACTATTCTAAGTACAGGTATTAGTATTATGTTACAAAGATGATTGCTTAAATCTACTCATTATGATCTCATAGACATTAAATGTACTTACCTACATTAATATAGATTTTATCGTACCTCTGCTAATTGCGCCTGTTTAATAGCGAGCGCGGCCATGGCCTTATCATAGACAGCTTGCGCAGCAGCTAGCCTCTGTTTCTTTGGTGCCACTACTTTAGCCACTTTGTCGTACTTAGTCATTGCAATCACCCATTTGCACATACCTAACGAATCAAATTATAAACCACAAATTTTGATTAATATAAAAAAAAACGAGAGTTAATTGTGGAACACAGAATGAAAAATGTACCTAAAGTTTGTTTTTATAATTTATACTATTAAATCTTCCTATATTTTTAGGTTTAATAAGCATAAAGGTAGTTGATGTGTAGTGTTGTAACATCACTATATTAGTCAGTTATATCACGTCACTAAGGTACGTAGCACAAAGTATATACTTGGGTAGTCATTGCTCTGCTGTCTGCAACACTGTAAAGTGGTCAAAGTCTGTCGATGTAATATTCTAATTAGATGATAATATGACAAGTCAAGAAATGATTTTATTTATAACTACGTCCCAAAGTCATAGAAGAATATAGCTATGGGTAAATCAAAGTTAAATAAGTATCGGTAACGTTGTTTTCTTATTAGTCTATTATACTACTAAATACTAAAATTGATTATTTGAATTTGTTCTTAGTTTATAAATATAAAATTTAAACATACTCTATAAAATAGGTATCCTGTAGGATAAAATAAGTTACCTTCGGCGGCCACTGATACGGAGCGGATCTTCTCAGGCACAAAGCCTTCATCTAGCATTACAGTTGTCATCAACTTTTTCATTACTGGCGGTGGAATATTGTCCTTATCGTAGTTTTGCAGCGACTCCAGAAACTTGATGTCATTCAGAAGTTTCTTTGATGGACCCCAATAGTCTTCGATAGTGCCTACTCCTGATGGATTCGGTACTTTATCCGGTTTCACTTCCTATGTATAATTAGAGTATATATTATTACATCGCAACAAGTTGAAATCGATTAGCACAAACTACATCAATAGAACTGCCGGTGAAAATTATTGGCTTATGCTCTGAAGCCATAATCGCCACATCAGTGCACATAATACATTCGCAAGACTATTCCGCTGTTCCTGATTATTAGCTGTTTATCTCAGACACTACACGGTCATCATCATCGGTAGAAAAAGTAAAAGTGCAGCAAATGATCCACCATTGGGCTTCTTGCCTAAGACTACCACAGCAACGATTAAATGTTTTCATGCGCAATACTTATAATTGTAATATATTTAAGTAAAATATGTGTGAACCATAACATGCATAATATTGCTTGTGCATCGTTATTCATTACTCATTTTGAATAATATTGTGATAATGATCTGCGTAAAATAATTGCTTTACTTACCGGATCATCCTTAAGTTAAAGCGTAAACAAAGTAATCAGTTGCTTTTAAAATTAAACTAACGGACCTATTTAATTCAATTAATTTAGGTAGTATAGTCATCATTATCAATCTCGCACGTCATATTAGTACGGTTCATATTTTTAACAGAACTTATTACATACTAAAGTTCATTCGCGGCAAGAAAATAGTGACGCATCGGGGATAAACGTCTTTTTAGTAAATAAATTTAATTTTGTATAGATTTAAAGTTTATCGATCTGAATTTAGATGTTCTTTTTAAATAAATCAAAACCGTAATAACACTTACTGACTACCTGTGGATGTAAGAGATAAAAAAGAATATGGCTTTATGGTACTTTGAATGAACTTTTATAAATTTAGTAACAGTTGATACTCTTAGTCGAACAATTTTTTCACAAGCGATGTTAATGTGTTAGTTTCCTTATGTTCCTAAAAATGTTTATAAACAGTATTGTACACACCGTGAGCAATTGTTGTTTTTATGACTGCACTCTCTATAATAACATGTAAGTCGTACAGTACTTTAAACATTATAAATTACTTGCCTTTTTTCTTGCATACATGCAAATGCATACTTGACTTAATATTTTTTTTATTTGGTGTTTTAGTATTAATTAGAAGCTGATTGGTCAAGGGGCGGGGCTTGATTATTGGACAGCAATGCGTCAGTATTTTCTTAACGTGAATGGACCAAAGACATTGATAATGTGGTGTCAGTCTGCTCGAGACTAATTTTTTAATTATTAAGTAACATTTCACTTGCGAGTGTACTAAATGTAAAAGTAACGTTCTTCTATTATGAAGCAATAAGATTGACTACATTTCAAATATCACGTGTCAAATATAGAAAATGGTGAAAATATTTTGATTAAAAATGAATAAAATATTTTGCCCGAATATGCTACTGTCATATTTACACCATCTTTTTCTTCAATAATTTACCAACTTTCTGTCACAATTTTTAACATGTGATGTGTCACACGTAGGTTTCATAAGCAGTCCCTAGCTTTTGGAAGGTGAATAAATATAAAATATGTAGCATGTAATAAAAAATTCGAGCCCCATAAAATTCTTATTTTTTCATGATATGTTTTTGGTTTACATCTTCGCTTGATAAGAGGGGTTCAATCTAAAGAGATAATTTTATTTTTGTTTTTAGAAAGTATTTAGAAATCAAATTAATGCATGTGACACATAACCTCAACACATAACAGGAATAAAAAATGAAATATATGTATAAGTATAATAAATTCCTTCAGCCGTTAAGGAATAAGCTAATCAAATGTCTTTTTTTAATTCTCCAATAACAGAAATCGATGAAATAATTAAATTTCCACATTATACCTTTAAAATACATATAGCTTCCATGACAAGTCGGATGCCTCGCGGAGGACTCTTCATAGTTTTGATGAAAGTAATATCCTGAGGAGTAAGTGTATCTAGAGCAGCTAAGGCCGAGTTAAGGATCGGCATGGCTTCTGCTAGATCGGCATCACACTCATCTTTAATACCTTGAGCCTCTTGCGCCTGTTTTGCAGAAAATTTATTAGTATAGCATCTCCCTCCGAGCCTTTTTTCTAAACTGGGTTGGGGTCGGCTTTAAGTCTACTACTATATGGCTGAACTTCAATTTTACGCGAAGCGACTGACATTGGACCTCCACATGTTGTAGAGATCCGATGGCAGTGTAGACCACAACCAGAAATACTGGGCGATTTCGAAGTTCTGTAGAAACTGTTGTCGGACTTTTTTAGGGCTCCAACTACCCGTCACGATTGCCACGGATGTTCGTATGACAACCAGGACCGACGGCGAATGTGTTAAGAATTGTCATCCATCGTATTAAATTGGTTAACTTTGCAGTCTTAACCTCCTCGGTTACCACTTAGCAACAAGCCATGATTAGCATAAGAAACAATAATATGGATTGTGTTCTACTGTACCAAAAAATGACATTTTGACGTGATAAAATATGACACTAAACACATTATCACATCATGTTCTATAACATAGTGAACAGTAAAACAAAGCAGCTTTTTATTAAATAAAATGAAATATTTGTTGTAAGAGTATAATTTGAGAATGGTTGAACGACTTGAGGATGACTAAATTATTGTAAATTGAACAAGATGATATCTATCTGGTTATCGGCAGGTTAACAGTATTTATATTTTATATTATAATAAAATTATTGCGTACCTTCAATCTAATTAAACCCGTTCTAACAATCATAATCTAACAAAATAATAAAAAAAACAGAGAAATACCGAGAAGTATACGTACGAAACAGATTAATTAATACAGGATCCCACTATAGTATGAACCTAACGCTTGTGTAGAACTACAATAGAACAAGGTTCACATTTTAAGATCTGGTTAACAGACCTGTTCAGCTGCAGCAGCTTGATCCACTAACACCTCAGCTTCCACCAACGCTACTCCTTCCTTTTCCTTTTCCACTTTAGCAGTTGTTTCTGCTACAGCGGCAGCTCCTGCAGCTAATTTAGGCTGCAGTATTTCTAAAGCTTCTTGTAAAGCAGCCACTGATTTTGCCGCAATAGCGAGTTGATCTAAACCCATCAGATATCGTTGCTCTCCTGTTAGCAGTTCCCTGTGAAAATCAGACTTGTTTTCATTGCTTGATTTTTATTATTGAATAGAACGCCTGTCTCCCTATCCTTTATATTACCGCTATGCTACGCAGGAAAAGAACACTGCAAAGAGAAGGCAAACTTGAAACAACCCCTATACCAACCCCTCTCGCCAGCGTGGTATAGTAGGCCAAAACCTCCTTTGTACGGAGAGGCCTGTGACCAGCAGTGGACTATAGCTGTGGTATACTAGGCTGTTGATGACGATGATGATGATGAATGTATGTACTTGTGTAATATGTATTTATAGGTGTAACTAGTTTGTATATGTGTAAATATGTTATTTTGTATAAAGCACATTGCTAAATTATACTGTCTGTTTCCTCTGCATCACTCAATGGTTGACTGGTAGAGATGCCTTAGGCATTGAGTCCACCAATACAGTGTAAAAATAAAATAATATATTTACGTGCGTTTCCTGGTGAGCAATGACTTGAACATGTTGATCAGTTCCAAGTAAGCTGTAGGCGTAACGTAGTTATATCTTTTGAGACGGATCAAAAACTGTCTGGTAAGTTCTTGTGTATCGGTGTGGAAAACCTGGCAAAGTTTAATGGCGGTATCGCGTTCCAAATCAGTGAGTTCGATTTCTTTCAAAAACCGTGTCGCTACTGCCAATAAGGCATCTGGTGGCCACTCCTGCAGAAGGAAGAAGTTAAGTATCGTATTAGGCAACACTCTTTATAAAGTACAACTTTACAAGCACTTTTACACGTTAATTATTTTTGTAAAACGATGTAATTGGTGCAGAAATTTCTCAAGTCTAGAAGAAACGCCGTAAACAAATTCAAAGATCTGAGTCTACCAAAATTATTAAGCTTACCACTAAACTTGAAAAATCATTAATTACGGAACCTAACAACACCTGAGGGATCTCAGCGATTTCAACAGAGGTACGACACGGTAGTCAGATATTTGGGTACATAAAAACACTCAAAACTGCCAGACCACTGTGAAGACCACTGTTTGAAAATTACTGGCTATCTAATAATCTATAACAACTACATATAGTCAACATCAGCATCAGATACATAGGGACCAGGTTACACGTCTAAATAATAATGGTAACATAAATAATAATAAACGTCTGGCCAGCGTGGTATAGTAGGCCAAAACCTCCTTTCTAAGGAGAGGCCTATGTCCAGCAGTGGACTATTATAGGCTGTTGATGATGAAATAATAATAACCTAACATATCTCACACACAGCTGTCTGATCCAAAACTAGACAAAGCCAGTACTATGGTAACCAGACTGCTTATAAACATATTATAGATAAATTACACTCAGTGCTCATCACACAAATATTTAACTTTGTCCTGAGTGGGAATGGAACCCACGACCTCTGATTTAGCAGTCAGTCAGTCAGTCATCATTTTATCGAATAATGAATAGAATATTATACTGTTAAATGTCATATTAATTTATTTAAGATTAAAACATTATGTTTCTTCTTTTCGTTAATTACATTGAATATTACAAAACAAAAGACGTGGCAAATGCCGTCATGCATAAAATAAAAACATCGTGTCAAGACTGTAGTGGCTTATTATTTGACATCCAATATATATCTTTGCTCATGATGCTGCCTGTAACTACCTACATGAGTCATAGTTGTCATTTTAGTCAGAAGACTACCTTGACTAAAGACTGCCTACTGCAGGACATATTCCTCCCTAATTGACTTCTGAAAACACAACGCAATCGCATGCATCCACCGTTGAGTGAAGAACATCTTAGTCCAGGACTAATATAATTTATTATGTTGTATAACTTACCTGGAACCAATCTATAGTACAACAATTGACGAGAGCAGGGAATTTTCTGATCCGAGTACGCAGTGAGGTACCTGCGGGCGACATCGCAAGTACAATATGCAACTGATCCCGGACTATAGATACAAAATATGCATAAAGCGCAGTTGGACTGCCATCGGTTTGCAACGACTTATCGCGCTGTCGGTCAATCTGTAACACACAAAGATGATAGAAATGTAAACATTTTTAAATCTAAGCCAATCGTTTAATTATGAGTACAACTGTTTATTTACAGATAAATATCATTTGAAGGAAATAAATTGCTTTAAAGCTTTAATAAATTGACATTGCAAAGGGAAATATGAAATTTTATTAGGTGTTTTAATAAATTCTCCAAATAAATTGGTTCAAACACGTCAAACATCAAGTGTTGATCTAGTTGTGTGTCTTGATTACAAAGTCAATTAAAATACTCACAACTCTCATTTTTTCGCAAAGTTCTGCCTTTTCATCGGAGGTAAAGATATTGGGCACTTCCCCAGAGTTCAGCATATTATTAACATCCTCCAGAAAGCCTTCTTCTTTTATCTATTCAATTTAGACCACATTTACTTTTAATTAACTTGAATATTGAGCTATAAACATTATTTAAAAACAATATCTTAACTACAACCAATCTAAATATCAATAAACTTCGCATTACCTGAGACTCTATGAATAGGAAAACCATGTGCAATTCTGGAGTACTCGACTTTCTTAACAACGTTTTTAAGTCTTCACGCCATTCAGTCTTACCGTAGGTTCTGCTCATTTCAACCTATAACAAATATAAATCCATTTAAAAGGTTTCAATATTAAAAAATGAGAATATACATGAAATATTTTATTGAACTAAGTGGTACCCGCTACTTCACACGCGTGGAATTTGAAAAGAGTTGTGAGTGAGTGAGTGGTGTAGTATGGTACTCATACGCTACTGCAAGCCTGAGGCCTCGGGTATCCGTATATAATATCCGGCATATAGGTAAAATTTATATATTTTTCTGATAGGAAAAATAGCCTAAGTCACTTCTTATATAGCTGGTAAAGTAGGCTAAAACCTCATTTCTAAGGAGAGGCCTATGTCCAGCAGTGGACTATTAGTCTTTTGATGTGATGTGATGCGATCTGATTGTGCAAATAACCGTGTGACCATGAAAAAACCTTATTATTTTGACATTACAACAAACAGACAGTTTAGACGATTTCCAGTTTCCATATATGTGTGTATGTGTATTTATCTATGTGTAATGTGAATAGATGTATATTTGTGAATGAATGAATTTTTAAATACCTAATACCCGTGTTAAGGTTGTGTGTAAGAGATCGTCGTGAGCGATAAGTCCGCATCTTTTCTTATGTATTACGCGTATACAATAAAACTATAAATAATAAAATAGTTATTGTAATAAAAATAATAGATTTTTTTAAGTGCATATCAACACCTAGTGCTGCTAGCTGCTGTGTACCTAAGTAGAGTATGCTAATTGTTGTCCCAAAGTGCGTACTGCCAGTGACTGACTATTAAATACAGACTTCACGACCATGTCATTTGAAATATTTATTAAAGACGTATCTGACCTGGAAGAGGTCGTACTCGTTGATATGTGCCGCGAGGCGTGTCAGCGACTGTCGGCCCGAGCCGCCGAGCCCCACGAGCAACGCGTGCGAGCGCGGCTGGGTCAACACGCGGCAGATACGGGACACGTGCTCGATAGCAAACCTGCGTCACAAATTCTTATAACGTAACTATGTACCACCCATCGAGGAGGATAATAGAAGATCAGCCAGTTTTATGGGCCTATAAATGTACAATAACAATGTGAGATTGTGTGTTTTCTGGCTCGACCGGATGGATACCACGGCCTTACAGAAAATCAGAGTTAATTTATTCCTGTATCTGCCGGCTAAGAGGCTACCGGAGGCCCAATCTTCCCTCTCTACTTGTGGCTGTGGGAGGGGCCCTCAAAAGCTGGCGTTCGGAGTAAGAAACCCTAAAAAACACTTTATAGATATAAAATAAGTAAAATTGTAAAAATATTTTCTATTACCTGAACAATACAAGATTCATTGGTTTCTTCGACATATTATTAAACTCCACGAGGAAGGCTTCGACAGTAGAGCTCAGATGATCAAAATTCGTTGTCTCCATATAGAACCGTGTGTCAACTTTTGGGTTTGCGAAATCACAATATATCAATTTTCGAAGATGTAGGTCGGTAATAACCTAGTAACAAGTAATCAGAAACTATAATGCAAAATAATGTTTTGTGAGAATATATATAGAGTTGAGACCGTGTAAACCTTTCCAAAAATAAAACAAAAATAATTTTCTAATTCTGTCTTGAGTTATAAATTACTTACAATAGAATGTGTAAACCATAACTATTGTTTTTAGTACCTTGTCATGCGGAAACCGAAGCCCACAACCAATACCAACCAACCAATACCAATACCTTGTCATTCGGTCCGTCAAGCAGTCTAGACAGCATCTTTTCAAAATTATCATTAAGGTGGTTTGTTGTAGCTTGTCGAAGGCAGTTCACCAGCCACCTACGATCCGCGTCCTCAACCAAACGATCAGAGAACACTCGAAGACACTCGTGAACCCAAAGCCTCTTCATTGATTGAAGGTCGGGAGTTACTTCGGGAACTGAGAGTAGTACGCCCTAAAATGTTTTCTAGAGATGATACATAATGTTCAATTTCACAAAAAAGTTAAATAACTAAAAAAAACGCTTCATAGCGGACTAAATTATAATTCGAAAAAGTTCGGTTTATTCCCAGTAGTTCTATGAAACCAGTTCCACACGGTATTAACGTAACCTTAACAATGCGATTTTTGTACCATTTTTTTCACATAATTTTATAGCACGTTAAAGCTGATATTAATAAACTTGAAATTATAAAATAACACAAGAAAGACTTCCCAGAGTTTCAAAAGAAATTTTACCCAAACTACTGAAAGTTGGAAACCAAATGATTTTCTACATATATAATAAATCTGTGAGAAAGGTAATATTGTACATGGCAAATAAATAAATAGATGCCAAAACAAATGCAAGTATTTAGAGTTTTGTATGAAAAGTCGGTATTCTTGCTGCGGTGGATATGAAACTAAGATTAAAATATTTTTCTACAAATGTTTTTGTAGCACAAGGAAAAGGGTTTTCTGTCTTAGAAGACAACAAGCTACGCAGCTGAAAATTCATAGAACTATCGGGTATAATTTGCCGCCTAAAATATGTATGTATGGAACTGGTGGGTTGTTAAAGTTCCTCATAAATGGCTTATGGTACTACTGGGAATGAGCCAAAAGTTCCACTATCTACCTCGTGGCTTCATCATCTAATCATCATTCCCAAGCCCAATCTATTGTATTTGTTAAAATGGAGGTAAGCATTTACTAGTGTAGCTACTGAAGAATTCATTCGTTCTGTTTCAAGATACCAAATTATAACTCTTTCATGCAAACTCCATATTTATACACATTTCGACTATTAGCAGGAGGTTAAAATTTTCTTTCCAGTTTTTTTACATAGTTACAAGTGAAGCTAATAAAATCGTGGTAAAAATTAAACACGTAGGCTAAGTTACCAATATAACTCTGGAGAAGTCCCGCAAATTAAAGGTGTAGTGGGACTTCGATGGCGTGGGCAATAAATTTAATCGGCATTCCTTATATACCTCCAACGTCCCACTTACAATTTCATCAATACAGGGATCAAAGTCCTTGGAAAAGCCTCTGAAAAAAGAATACTTAGAGATGTTTTAGGTAATCATTTACCAGGACAGGGCCACATTTCTAATTAACTTATTGTAATTTGATTTATGTTCACGGGCCTGTTGGAGTAAATGAGATACCTGGTGGCCAACCCGATTCTGGAGGGGGGCACACAAACTATTAAAACGTGATTGTAATCCTTGATTCCATTAGGTAACCTTTGCTCGATTGTCCCTATTCCGAAAAGGAAACTAAAACGGGACTTCCTCGTCGATCTGTGATCTCGACTTCGACACAATATATTCTAAATCAAGTAACGGTAGCGGTTTGTCAGTACCGCTTATCCCAGTTATCAGCTCAGATATGACTACGGAGAACTAAGGATCTCTTCTATATTTTTATTTCATATAAAGGATACCATATTTAGATGTCAACTAAAATACAATATTAAATATATATCATTATGTAATATTATAAAACAAGTAAAAACGGAAAATACGAACCGAGTATCAAGATGCCATAGCATGATCCTGCTGAAGATGCACATTAGAGTTTCCTCATCGAATTCATCAATACAGAAAAATGAGAAATGTCGTGTGAATCTCGGTGTTATAAGTTTAGCTCCTGGCATCGGTTTACCCATAGCACACATAAACTAAAACATCAATTATTATCGTATTATTTTAAATACATGGTGAAAACTAGTAAACCTTAAAAAGCTAGACCGATTATGAGGGCAGGCCCAAAGAAAAAAAGCTGTTCTATTTTTTTATTGATCACGATAAATAAAAGTGCTCAACAAACTGCCAAAAAAAGGTACTGAACTACATTGTCTTTGGCTATTAATATTAAAATAAATTCGATTCTTAGAGACCGTAACTAATTATTATACATAAGCAGTATAATTGGGACGTAAGACACGTACCTGAACATCGATAAGATGCATAGCAACATTAGTTTTGCGGTCGTACCAGAGTCCAAGATCTATGCCCTGACGTAGTACTTCAATTGGTGGTTGGGCGCCATACGTCTCTGCCTGAGGCATGCTCACGTCATCCACGAAAACCACGGCGTAACAACCAATAGGTGGACCAAAAACACCTAAACACAATGTAGACTTAAATTCATAATCATCATCTCAGCCGAAAGACGTCCACTGCTGGACATAGGCCTCCCCAAGGTTCGCCACAATAATCGCCCTTCAGCAGGTGCTGCCCACATCCAATTATTACCGCGACCTTCATCAGGTCGTCGGAGCATACACACGAAGACGACTACGTGATAACTGATTAAGCAACTGTCTCTTACAACAGTCTCTGACATAATAAAACTCGAGTTATTTTTTTCATTCAAAAACCATGACCATGAGATACGTAACATATACATTAACATCGTCATATCAATAATATCTTTATAAGGAGTTTAAATAGCAATAGAAATATTATCGTATCATATCGTTATATTTTAGAAGTAAATTAATGCAAACATTACAATCACTTAGGGGACCGTAGAGTAGAGGCATTTTTTTAAATTCTTATCTATAAGAAAACAATAAAAACTTTATTCCATTTCCGTAAAACGTTAAAATTTAATTTTTATTTAAGTTTATTTTGTTACCTTTTCTCCTTTTATCCAGCTTTCCCATGATGATATCTTGTGTTTGATTACAATTGGTCTGTGCGGAGAACGCCATAATCAATGCCTTATACACCTTAGTATCGACTTTTTTTACAAGGAATTCCTGAAAATTTTGCAATTATAACTAAGTTTTACTTTTGGTTTTATTTAATTCCATCGTGTTACTCCACTAGCAATTTCCAGTACACAGATTATCAAGAACTATAACCACCTAAAGAGCAAAACAAGACTAAATTGACGAATTATCAAATATATCACCATCTTTCTCTTGAGGTATGGCTGCAAGTGTTAAACCTTGAATTTTACAGTGTTAACATCTTCATCTAACATCACTTTATTACTCTAAAAAAAACAACACTTCTGTACTTACAATGATGTACGAAGACTTTCCAGTGCCAGTGGGGCCAACCATCATTACGGCCTTATGGTGCGATACCAGAAGCTTAAAGAGCGCAAGGTATCGAACACTGTCTAAGGTAGTAACCAGGATCTGATTGGGTGGTGTGTCTCTACTGATCGCAGGAGCAGACACTACGTCATCATTCCATGGTTTCCATTTTCCTTTACCCTTTAAAAACATTAAAATACATATTTAAAACGTTTTGAGACTATTCCTTACGTTTTTAGCAATTTTCGTGACAAACCAACGCTGTCCATTGGCCGATGGTTTGCAAAACCTATGAAAGTCCTTTGAAATATCTAAATCTGTACAAGCCATAACTGATTGCTCATTTCCGTACTCAATTCACTTCTTACTTCATTGCACAGCTTGTCCATTTTCCACATTCATCAGACCTTTCATTCACTCACCGGTTACGGTTGCCATATATACGAGTAATTTGTATAGGTATTTCGGTATGTTACCGCACTGATTCATCCACTTATGTCTGAATACTTTTAGACATTCACTCTATCCTTTTCTTTGCAACATGCCAAAACATTCCTGTTTCATTCACATTCGTTCATCACCATGCTCATTTCGTTTTTAATTCTTGTGTCAGTCTCATGTCTTGAGTCTGTTGCAAAATATTATCTACTAATCTACATACCTTTCGGGTAGCTTATAAATAAATATTACTTACTTCCTTAATATACCGATAGTCAAATACCATGCCTTCTTTTGGAATTGTGAAAATATATTGTTTCTCTGGTTTTGCTATTTGTTTATGATAGCCAAGGATTTCAATTACCTGCACAAGAACATATTTCAATAAGTAAATTAATACATTTGTTTACAATTATTGAACTCAAGAATTAAGTAAAACTACCTTTTCAGGAAATTCTTTATCTAGTAGTCCTCGGAACATCATATCGAAACGAGGGCGACTATCAGCTTCGATCGTTGCTCCGATAGACCAAATACACGAGAAGAAGAATACGCCCTGAAAAAGGTTATCAATTGTTGGAATATTATTTGACTCTATGTAACATAGTATGTATTAAAATGCACCCGCACTACAAATAATGTCCTGACAACATCATCTTAATTGACGACCGATCTGATTACATTTACCATTATCATCTAGGCTTGCCGAAAACAGACTAGGTATCTAGTAGAAAAACGAAATACCTAGTGACTGCTTAGATCGTCGCTTTAAAGTTTTAGAAAGAAAATGCAGTTATTCATCAGTATGTTTACGTTTACGCTAAGTTGACTTTTCAATAAGTAACACACCTCAAGTTGAGCTCTAATGTCGAGATCTGAAATCTGCTCCATGAACTTTTCATCATAGAAGTCATCCATATATGAATCAAAAAGATTCATGCATGCCACAACTAGATTTGTTCGCGAGGTGACATACATTTGCTGTAAAAAAAAAGTTATTTATCAGAACACATAATAAAAATATATTGTTTTAAGTAAGATCATCATATTAGCAATCTCCTTTCTAGTATCATTCAATTATACGAAGTATTTCTAGTTGATTCTAGATTAGGTAATGTTGAACGTACCTTACCGGAACCTAAAATTAAGTTAAGTAATAATATATTATTCAAAAACGTTTTTTAAATCCGTGTTACCTAAGTATATGATATACCTTAATAATTGTTACCAAGTTACCCGCGACTTTCCAGATAATTCGACAAGCCATAGCAGTGGGGGCAGGAAACGGTTGAACATGTTCCTAATATGGGAACGATTGACCGTGTGTAGAGAGGGAGGGAGAACATTAAGCCAGGATTCCATCAACACTTTCCAGCCGAGTCCCTTTGGTTCAAGGTAGATCATGCCGCATCGAGACACCTGTTACAATGATATTAAGAGCTTATAAACTTAACAAAAACAAACGAAATTAAAATGTTACTAACGATATTTGATTTTAATTTTTTTTTGTCATCCTAATTATTTTTACCCATTGGAAAACAACAAACCAAAAGCTACCCTCCTAATAAAATCCTATTGAACTAAATAGAGATTAATTGCCTTAAAGGGTTAAGTAAACAATATGCAGTAACTAAGTAGCTCACAGTTGCTGGTGAAGCAGCTTCCAAGTCCATAGGCTCAAACACAAGATTAGTCGTTGGTGCCAATTGAATAATTTCACCGCTCATTAGACACAATTTTTTATTATCATCAAGGACAGTATTCAAGTTTTCAATCCAAATCGCGTCTACTGGACCATCAAATACCAGCCATTTTCTACAAATAAAATAGAACAAGAATATTGAAGTAGTTACTTATATCGCAGGAAACGAATAAAATAATCAGCTTTTTAGAAAGTAATTTGACACAATGAAATTTGACTATGAAATTAAAAATATCACTAAATAAAAAAAGTACTTCTATTATAGTCATATACATATACTGGACCAATATAGCTTTTTGTAACTAGTAAAAAGTATGTGCGTCTCCCGTACATTTATTCTTTAAGAACTTAACCACTTCAGCCGCATTATAGCCTTGACGGTACAGGGAGGAACGGAAATTTTACAAATTTGCGATATCAAATATTCTTAAAAATAATTCTCTTTGCCTATAAAAGATGTAGACATATTTTAAATTTTTGCAGCCTTCATAATTTCTTTAGGAAAGATAAACAACAAACATAGCATAACATCAGCTGTCTTCTTTAAAAATACCCTGAGGCAAAAGTTAAAACAAAATAAAAAAGTACAAAAAATAAAATTAGTCTTATTTTTTTACATACTTACCTATTGTCATTAGTAGAAACAGCAAAAGCCCTGTAACTGACGGCCAGAATTCCGTCAGACCACTCGTGTGACACGGGATCGAACTGCCCATACAACTGGCCCATTGTAATAGATTTAGGATTTATTACTGTCCATTCAACAGCATTCTCAGCCATTAAACCCTAAGTGATACGAAAAAAAAATTGGTGAAAAGGATTAAGAGAGACTAGAGATTGTATAAGTTACTAATAATCATAAGAGTCGAAACTTATCTGATCTTGAGGATACCTCCCACATAAGCGATAGGCGCATTTCGAGAGATTCAGTACAGGAGTTTAATAATTTAATCACCAATTTGACACGTAAAACATTTCCGTTTTAAGAAAAATTACCCATTTCATTGAAGTTTGAGGTAAAGATCAGTTTTAAATATAAAAATTAAGAGATTTCAACATAAGGCACTACTATCATCAACTACGAAATAACTACCTTTAACTAGTTATGAAATAGTTACCTTTTCAGATACATCCTTCAATGAATATCCAAGGGCATGATAGCATTTAGTTTTGCCCGAAAACGGTAGTCCAACTAACATGAGACCGTGCCGCACCAGAATCATTTCATACAGTTGTAGAACCTAAATGTTGATAAAAATTAAACAGTGTCCCGAAGAGTGACGATGGACGAATCTTATAATGTTTGGCAGTTAAAGAGAAACAGATAAAGAGAAAATAGTGATATATTTTTGCTTTATTAAATGACACAATTAAGCAAGTGTAATATATTTTATTTAATTATGCTGCTTTTACATAATAATACACGCACAAATTGTTTACACACATTTTTTACACATGTCAGCCAAAAATCACTAGTATCAGAATACAATAATTAATTAAAAGTAAAGAAAATAAAATTAAGATTGAAAATAAAGGTTGACTAGGAGAGAATGCCCAATGGCATTAAGTCCGCCTTTTGTATTTGCATTGCAACATGTGCATTAAGTTTTAAATAACTATGTACATTACGAGTATAATTAGACTGCTAGGAACCAGTTTTTTTTTATTTTAAATTATTATTTTAACTTACCTTTTCGATGAAGAAGTCATTTGGTTGCAAGTTGAGCGGTACACAAACTTCAATGAGACTCGCGACTAGATGCGGTAACCCGGCTGCAGGAAGTGGCAAGCCAGGGAACAAGTCTCCAATGATACCCTGAATACAAACGTCCACGTCGGTTTTTATGAAATCGACCTTTTGAAGCTCGTTTATTTTAAAGGTTGAATATTTTTATAAATGTTGCATTATAACAGTATATAATGACATTTCAAGCGTTTAAACTCACCATGAACAAAGGTACATCATGTTCCAGGAATTTGGGTAGATTGACGTCTTTGATGGAGCGCAACAAAATGAGATCTTCGTCTTCATCGGGATAGCGTAACTTGAGTGCACCGGCCGCTCGCAGCACCGACTTGACGGCGCGCATACCTAGCACATACAGTTGATTGGCGTCTCACTGCTGTTGCTATTGTGAGAGATCTTAGTCTAGAGATAACGTAAGTTTTCCCTGAGATTAGGTTAATATATAACTTCCACACATCAACCGTTTGGTGTCGGTCCGACTTTTATGGTAATGCTTTATTCATCACTATTGCATAGATTTATGATCGAATTGAAGCCACTTGGCTGAGATGGAATGTTCAGGTATATTCATCCTAAAGAAGACCTCTGTTGCCCACTTAAGCGTAAAATGGAAGTTAGGACGATTTTTATAGAGTTCTATTTTTATGTAATGTATTAATGTAATTGAATTGTTTTATTGTTGTGTGAATGTGGTAGAATATTATTACGATTATTCATTAATTATCATTAAGAGAAACAAAGTCACCGCTCTACAAATTTCAGAAATATTCAATATTATTTTACATAAATGCAACAAAATCCTAAAACACAAAAGGCAATTTGGTAAAAAGAGGAGTAATATGTACAGTGGAATCACCCCTAAGATTATGAAATGTGAACCCTGCCAACACGAACAAGCCTATATCCTCCTGCTCTCATATGTACGGAACATTCTTTAATAATAATAACAAATTCTTACGTGTTAAATAGATTGAAATCAGTCTGGAATAAAAGCAACAGATGTTTTTGATGTTTTTTTTTTTCTTTCTAAAATTAAATAAAAAATAATAATATTTTAATTTAAAAAAACTGAAACGATAGTTACCATAATCGTAGTGACTCTGTGAGGATAGTTGTTCTGAACAAAGTTTATAGGTGGCTACGATCTTGACGGCCAGCGGTTTAGCGTTCAAGTACCCGAACGCGTATAGCTCAATCTCAGATATTAGCACATAGTCTGGCACCATCATGGCCACGGAACGGAACAGGGCCTGTACAATAATTTTCCGTATAAAAGCTGTCCCTTAAAATATAATCATTTTTTTCAGAAACAATACATTGTAATAAGAAAGGTCAGTCTCATTTTACAGGCCAAGGCCTGCATCATAGTAAATGTTAATGGTTTTAGGTATTTGAAAACATATTTGCCCTTGCTATTCAACACCGAAAAAACTCAAATCTGTTGCTTCAAATCTACACTAAAAGCACATCACCGGTATGTGTATACAACCTTCAAATTATCAGGTAGCTCCGAACGACCAGCGTAACCAGGGTTCATCGTGATGAATACTGCACAAGTTTTGTCAAGTTGTAGTAACGTTCCTTCAAACAGCAGTTCTGTTGCACCGGAGTTGATTCCTCGTTGGATGGAGAGAATCTGTTGGGCGACCACAGAAAGCACCTCCAGGTCGATTCGGTTGAACTCGTCGAAGCATGACCAGGCACCGCATGAGGCTAACCCCTGTATTATACCCAAACAAACCAAAACATTATTCTAAAAGTGAGTTACATATTTTATTGGTGTCATATAACAATCCCGTAATCACATCTCTCATTTTCTGGTATTGTGAGTTCGTATAATAGATTAGCTTTTGCTCATGATTTTGCTCTTTTTAATGAAAGTTGAAAAACAAAAGCAATATTTTTGACGATTAGTTGAGTAGTTAATTACATATAATAGAACAAAATAGAAAAAAAACCCATTTACACATTATGAAGTACGACGAAAGTACAGCAATAATTTTCAATCAATAAGTAAAGTAGTTAAATTTGAAATAATTATTTCTCTTTCGACTTTACAGAAAACAGTTACTTAGTATTTTTTTATAATTTTACCTTGAAGAATTTTCCCAGAGCCAGGTAATCAAGTCCGTCAGAGCAATTGAACACAACACACTGTTTGGCAACTGCTTTCGCCAAATCCTTTGTTGTTTCAGTTTTACCAGTGCCAGCTGGACCTTCAGGAGCTCCACCTAAAAAGGACGATATTCATGGTAAAACATTCATAGTAGACATCAATCTGTACTGGGTACTGGACCCATACACTTTGACTTTGCTATTTACAAAAATACACGCCCAAAATACAAATATTCATATAACTTATTTTCCTTATAGACATTTGAGAAAAAAGATTACTCAACAGCGTTTCTACTGAAATTGGAAACTGTAACTAGCGTTAGAGCAATAAATATTAGTACATTTAAAAATAGCTAGTTTACGTACGTATCCTAGTGGCCTACTAATCATAGGACGGAAAAACGGAATTCAGAAAAACCCTTATGTAGTATTACATTTTGCTCCGACCCCAAATAAAATTAGGAACTGATGATATTAGATGTCGCCAAAACCTATTTTGTCACCTATACTATGTATTCACTACAGTTCGCTTTACGTGCTCGTAGAATCTAAATAAATAGTTTGGTTGTTAGTCTCCGGGAAGTTTCAGAAACTAGCTCTGGCACTTCGACGGTTAATTAAATTCTAGCAAAATGTAAGCGTGTAAGTAACGGAAACAGAGAATTTACCAGATCAACAAACTTCGTCTAACAATATCACGGAGCGAAGTGATGAGTTAACTAACTTAACAACGCGGTGAGTATTTCAATATTTACGGTATGTAAACGGTATTTTGTGCTATATCATCAATTTTGTAATTAAGTAATAGTTTAGTCAAGTTATACTGAGTGAAAAGAGCGTGTAATTCAAGGGTTATTTTTTCATCTTTACTATATTTTAGTAAAGATGAAAAGATAGCCAAAGTAATGATGTATTGGATTACCTAAATTAAGATGCAAAGCGCCAAATAGCGTCCTAAAGCAGCGGTCAGTAAGGGGGGTGACCACCAGCCGCCCTGCATTACCGAGGTACTCGTACCCATACATTAGCTGTGAGTTTATCATGCGAGTAGCGCACTGCCACGATAAGTCTTCTTGCTCCTGTACATTACAAAAACATTGTATTACTATAACAACTGTATTAAATGTTGCTAATGTTTTTTTTCTAAATCTTAAGCATGGCAAGCTTAATGGACGCCATCAAACCATCTAATGCTATATTTTTTTAAATACTATGCTACTGGAAATTAAGATATAAATAAATAAACGATGAAATGACAATTGTTTTATTACTAAAGAGAACTAAACCAAAAGAGCGTCTCACTTTAAAATTACCTATTTCATGGGGGCAACACATGCCACTTCCACAGTGCCTGGGAATTGCGACCCAGGGATAGGTTTAGGGAGTACTCCTTGCGACGCGTCAGCGCTTACCTCCACTGTCTGCTGTGTTACCCCCTCTACCTAACAATAGTTGATATGAGCCAAGCAATGTCGCTTTGTATATTCGTTCTAGAAAAAAGCTTAATGAATCTCTTGGCAATCCAAGGTCTTTAAGCAGGTTATAGAGAGATTTAGCTGGCATACCCCTCACACCCACTTCCACGGCATAGAACGCAACGAAATAACCATTTTTAGTTATTTCGTTGGTTAAGTCTAAGTACTTGTTTCTTTTCAAAACGTAAACAAAACATTATTAAAAATTACGTTAATTTTATTTTGATTTAGCGGTGGTCATAGTATACAGCAAACCTTACCTCCCAATAGTATCTTATTTGTGAAAGCCAGTTGAAGTCATTGTCTTGTTGCACTTCACATTCTATAAGCAACATCAACACATCTCTTGCGTGGACATCCAGTACTACCAACGCTCCTAAAAGTAGATAATATTTAATGAGAAGCATTTTATTAACGAAGATCAACTCAGATTCGTGTTATGGTCATAAACAGTAATTGACTTCCGGATGACGAAGTAGTTTGTGTGCGTAAGTAGTGCGTAAAGCATGCAAGTCAAACATTTGTGTGCATGAACATTTAATGTTTGATTTGGTCTGGGTGTTTCTATGATTAATAGGTAAGTATTTACAAATAACGTGTATATCTCTTGATATCAGTTGTCTATTACCCATAGTACAAGTTCTGCTTTGTTTGAGCTAGATTGGCGTTGTGTGAATTAATATTAGAATTTAAATTATTATTTTTATTATACGTATAATTATTATATGACATTTGCACAACGACAGTTGACTTATTATGGACCCTTTCTATACAGGCACTTTAACGATTTATATAAAATTTATAGCATGAACAAAGCTAGCTCAACAACAACATTAGAAAATAATTTAAAATTGATTGGGTACCACACAACAGAAAGCATTCCTAAAATTAATATTTAAATTTGGTAAAACGCATCACAAAAATATTCACAAACATATCTGCCACGTATACTTACAAAACGAAACTCACTCACACACTCAGCCTTACATATATACATACGCGCTCATCACATATTAGACAAAACACACCTACACAAGCACACACCAAACATTACACAACGGAGTGAGCAGCATCAATCCTAAGCAAATTTGTCATTTAAGTAATCTGTAATAGTGTAGTAAGCCTTTTCACATAGTTTTAGTTTCACTAAAGACTAAAGATGAATTAAGTAAGTCCAATTTAAGTCATTTTAAAAACATTGCACATGCATTCAAGGTAAACGTAAATTCAGGATATATATCTTTGATAAATCGAAGAAACACACCATTTAAAGAACATACCGAGTGTGATCCTATTCTGCAAGCTCAGCTCGCCTCGTACCAAGTCGACAATCTTGGATATTTGAAAATTACACTTGTGCCAATACTGGTTCATTGCGGCAAGGCTTATGTGTATCGCTTCTGTAACTTCCGACGTCCAGAAAGTCATCGCTATACATTGTACCTGAATAAAAGTGTTAAATATTATTTATGTTAACAGGCTGTTCGATATTCAACCATTTTCCTTCGAATTACAGTTGAATAATAACCTACTGCAAGATAAACGTCAAATGCGTCAAACCATAAAATGCTTTTGCCATTAGCTGCTTTAAATCCTCTCTGCCTCAAAAAATCCATTTGCGTCCATTAGGATCTTTGCAACAAAATGAACAAAGGCTTAAATCATACCCGAAAAGTAGGTTTGGCTCGCTCGATTTTAATAAAACTGAGAATCTATGACTATTTTCAAAAAAGCCTGGGTCATCTTTATTTTGTTGTTGTTGTTACTGCGTAAAATGTACCCACGCAATATGTATAAATTATTTATGCTAATACTAATACTGTATCTGCTAACATGGTTTCTTACCGTGATTTTTTTCATTTAACATAGGTAGGATAGATGATGTAGAGGCTATGATTATCCAATTGTAACAATACGAAAAACTATAGTTAACACCTGGAATAAGGTCTTATTGATAGTCCAAGTATAAAGTTGCTAGTCAGGTTTCTTAGGGTGAATAGTACTTTTAAATATATATTATATTATAGTATAGTAGGTACTAACAGCTTGTCCTGGCCACGTGATCACCCATTTTTCACGTGGCTGCTGCAAGTAATCATCATAGGCGACTGTTACAGCGTGATGGACGGATGCTTTCATCGCCTTCTCCAGTTCCAACAACCATTTCTCTACCTGTGTAAAGTTATGAAAATGAAAAAAAAATAGTTCAAAGTCAACCGATTAACATTAATTTTCCCTCACACTTCTTTACAGCTATTTTTTTTCTAATATAATACAATATCTACAGTATTACTCGTCGTGTGATCTCTATTTAATTAATAACAATAAAATATTTTTATATTTTTATGTATTGTAGGTAGATTATCCTACCACCACCCACCAGCCACTGCGATGCCAATGATCATGCACATCATACAAATATTTTTTTGGGTGGAAATCGAAAGCACAATCAATGGCTTAGTAGTCAGAATCATGAACCACTAAACCAACAGGCCCGTCAAATTAAAAAATAAATAAAAAATAGCTTTATTGTGTGTTTATACATTCTTCTATAACAAAATGTATTACAAGTATTTGCTAATATGGAGGCTAGTTCAAAGACGTTTGCTCAAACCCGATGCTCGTTTAGCAAACCTATGACGTAAAAATTAGAGGTTAATATTACCTGTCCTCTTGCAGCTGCAGTGTTTATAGTTATAGTGAGAGGGACAACTTCTCCTTCAGACGACCGCATGTGAGTTACAACCATTTCTTCAGTGAAAGTAAGTTTCGCAATACCTTCGAAGCATTTTTTCAAGTGAGGCTGTACGCTGTATAATAATAAAATGATCATAATAATTAAAACATCAAATTGTAAAACCAAATCATTTTTACTATATTCCACAAGCATTTCTTTTTAATTTATCAATCAATCAATCAATCAATCAATCAATCAATCAATCATTTATTTCGTAAAACACAGGTAAATTCAGATGTTACAAACCATATTTAAAAGATCGCCATGTTTCGCCAATAGGCATACAAAACAATAAAAGGATTTAATTATTCCTGTGCAATACAACTGTTTAAAGTCCAGTAATCATATACTTATTCAATTCAATAAAAATAGACGTTGATTTGATTTCTTAATTAAAAACATACTGATATTGATAAATGATGATTAAATCGGGAAAAATGTTAAAATAATTAAAAATGACAAACTCAATATGTCAAATAATTAACAATCAAAAAAGTCGAACTAAATATGTCAAAATAATGAATAATCGAAAATGTCAAAATAATTAAAAGTTCAAAATACTAAATAAAATGTCAAAATAAATTAAATTTTTTAAAACAATTAATAATTACAACGTCAAAATAAATGTCATTTACAAATACCTAATCATATACATAACTAATTGAAATCAAAATTTATCATTCAGAAAATCTATTATGGAGTAGTATGCTTTGTCAATAAGTAATTTTAAGAGATTGCTTTTAAATTCATTAACATTTTTACGGTCTCTTATTTGTTTTGGTAAATGATTGTACAGCTTTGGTGCCATTGCGTATACACTTTTATGTAGAAGTGCTGTTTTGGCTTTTAATAAGTGTAATTTGTCGGAGCGACGTTGACTTTCTATAAAAGAAAATAGAGAAATGTTATTTCTCACGAACATGCAGACTTCATAAATGTACATAGATGGAAATGTCAATAGTCTTAGTTTACAAAAGTGTGGCTTACATGTATCAGTGCTTTTTAGTTTACACATAGCTCGGAGACATTTCTTTTGAGCTATAAACACGTCTTGCTTATTTGTGGCATTACCCCAGAATATTATGCCGAACCTTAAGGTCGATGACACATAGCCGTGATAAGCGGCAAGAAGTGCATTTTCATTAGCTACTTTTGATAGCATATATAAAGCATAGGTAAATGTATTTAATTTATTACACACACAATTAATTTGAGTTTTCCATGACATGTCATTATCAATTTGAAGCCCTAAAAATTTTGTTACTGTACTTTCTTCTACGATTTCATCTTTATATGAGATGTGTACTTCTGATGTCCATTTTCGTCTTATTTGAAAATTCATAAATTTTGTTTTCGACAGATTGATTTTTAGGTTATTAGCATTTAAGAAATTTATAATGTCTACAATACTAGTATTTATATCGTATTCTATTTCATTCAATGTACCCTTATTAAAAATAACTGTACTATCATCGGCAAATAAAGACATTTGATGTTTCGTAGTGTTAGGAAAATCATTTATGTAACAGAGAAAAAGTAATGGGCCCAAAACACTTCCCTGTGGCACGCCGTATTTAATTTTTCTAGCATTTGATGAATAAGCTACCTCAGTTTTAGATTTGAAATTGACTGAATTTATCTGTGTTATTTGATTTCTATCTTCTAAAAATGATTGTATCAAGACAAGGACATTGCCTCTAATCCCGTAATTATACATTTTTTTAATTAATATGTTATGATCCACGTGATCAAACGCTTTTGTCATATCCATATACAATGACATTACTGGTTTACGGTTATCTAAATTAATATATATGTTCTTTAGAAATCCATATATAGCCATATTAATTGTTTTATTTTTTCTAAAGCCCATCTGTTCCTTACATATAATGTTATTATTTTCCAGATAGTTATTCAAGTTGCTGTAAATGATTTTCTCAAAAATTTTAGAAAATACTGGTAACAGTGCTACAGGTCGGTAATTACCCATTTCAGTTCTTGAGCCCTTTTTGAACAGAGGTTTTACTATTGATGTCTTTAGCTTGTCCGGAAAAGTTCCGCTTTGAATACAATCATTTAGGATGTCAGTTAATACAGGTGCTATAATAGTACCTACAGATTTTACTACGCTTGTGTGGATTTCATCATAGCCTGTACTGCCGGTGTTTTTTAAATTCTTTATTATAGTATTAACGTCATTAGGTACAATCGGTTTCATAAACATAGATTTAAATGATTTAAAATTGGAAATATTTTTATAATTACATGTCTTTAGATTTATATTGGTATCTACCTGGTCTATATAATAATTATTAAATTTTTCTGCAATCAATTTTGGATGAGTAACCACTTTACCATTAATTAATAATTTCTTGATACTATCCCTAGGTACATTTGTTTTGATTGAATTTATTATTTTCCACGTAGCTTTGGATTTATTTTTACTATTAGCAATGAAATAACTATTTCTTGCCTTCTGAGTCAGCTTTAATACAGTTTTATATCTTTTATTGTATGTTTTAAAAGCTAGTTTCGTGTCGCTAGTTTTCGCTAGTCTATGTTTCCAAAGCAAGTCTCGCCTTCTTTTACTACACAATATAATACCTCGGGTTATCCACCTCGGTCTAACAAGTGTGGATATTTTGCGCCTTAGTATGGGGAAGCATAGGTCGTAAAAAAATTTAAATAAATCGAAAAAAGCATCAAAACGTTCATTAGCCGTATTACATTCATAGACCTCAGAAAAACTTAGATTTTTAAGACATCTCCTAAATATATTCTTATTTTCCTTGCAGTAATCGCGTTTGTGTGTGTACCAAAACTTCAAAATACAAGTTTGTTGTATTGGAAATTTAATTAATTGTGCAGTGTGATCGGATACCCCTATAGTAGAATTATTTTCTCCGTGCAGTTTGGGTCATAAACCATAGCTCGGCCCCGGCCCGGCTAGGGCGGTGAGCATGTTGCGCGGGCGCAACGCCACTATCGATAAGAACAAATGAGTCATCAAAGGCAGGTACACGGCGGCGGAGCGGTATACAAAGGTGGTGAGACATTGTTATGTTATGAGTCATTTGTTGTTCCCCACTGCAAATTATAGTACATATGTCGAAGAGAAATGTGTTTTTGTGCATTCGCTCTCTGAATTTCTTTAGTGACACAATGGCTACTCCTTTGTTTTGTACCAAAACGGCAGAATTTATTAAAAATAATATTTTCATTTTAAATATAGGTATAAGTATTTATATTTATTTTTAACATAACTTTTTACATTCTTAATTATTGTACTTATAACAATACATACTAATAATTTATTTTTATATTGTTATTATTCTTATTTTTATAAATACGTTGTTTTATCTATTTTTCCTTTATTTTTGTCACTAACCCACAAAATGACAAAACTAAATACACTATCGATAACGCTTATCGACAACAATAATGCGCATCACTATGCCCGCCCATAAGGCTCGTGAGTGGAAGAGAGAACGAAATACTCGCTTCACCGCTCCGACTGTTTATGACCCAAACTGCACGGAGAAAATAATTCTACTATAGTTCTAGAATCTCGCTTTTACAGCCTCTCATGTTGTAAACAATGTTATCTAAACAGCTGCCACTACTGGGGCGGGTTGGTGCGTTTACTGCAAATTTCATGTTGTATTCTTTTGCTAACCGTTTAAATGTCACGGAGTGCCTAGTCTCTTTTAGTAGGTCAATATTAAAATCGCCACTTATTTAATGTTAGGTCTATTTTTTAGATACAAAAGACGCAACATTTCATGTAAATTACTGAAGAAAATGTCAATTTTGCTCAAGTTTGGAGGTCTGTATAGACATATTACTGATATGTTATGATGAGTGATTTCTATTCCACAACATTCAAATATGTTAGGAATGTTAAATTTCCACACCGTTTCAATAATTGTAAATTGTAAGTAGTTTTGCACTAATATACATGAACCACCATTTCGATTATTCCTAGAATAAAATGTAGCTAATTTGTAATTGGGTATGTTAAGAAAGTCGACGTCACCCGACATCATATTGTGTTCAGTGAAGCATAAAACATTAATAATCTGACCATTACGAGCAAGAGTATCTATACACTCTGTTATAATATCGGATTTATTCAACAGTCCGTTTACATTTTGATGCAATAAATTTAAATGATTATAAACGAAAAAAATCTTTATCATCTGATCGATTAGAGTTTGAGAGGTCTATTAACGCCGTAGAATTTGAATGCTTACAGTTGTCAGAGCTACGAGTATAATCAATTATTTCACTGCTGCCAGATTGCATATGATAACTTACAGTATTAAAAATGTTATTCATTCCTCTGTTATTCAAATTACCGTTATATTTAAACATAGAATAATCATATTTCAAATTAGAGTTCGAGTCAACTATTATTACATGATTATAATTTTGAATGTCGAGATTATAAAATAAGTTATTAAAGGTTTCAATCCTCGAGTTAAACATCACCGAGCAACGACTATATTTATAAGTGGGTAGACAAATAATAATGTTAGTATGTTGTAGTGATAACAGAATGTCTCGTACATAAATTATCAAGTTGAAATAATTGTTTGTTTTAAGGAAATCGTTTTCACCAATGAAAACAATACAATAGTCCTTTAGTGTATAGTTTAAAAGTTTCGTTTTCAAATTAGTAAATAGTTGTACAATTCCACAGTTAGGATACAAGTAATGACATAACGCAGAGTTCCGAAATTTACCTTCGGCTATCGTTAGAACTTTGTTTGTTTTGTTACTACTCAAGATACATACTTTGCGCTTGCTATTCATAACCTTTCTGTCACATTTTTGATTTGTTGGTGCACGTTCTGTTGCCAATTTAGTAGCTAAAGTACATTTGTCTTGTTCATGATATTGTGACACATTGATAGACGTTATTTGTTTTTTATGTAATTTTAAGTCGACGTCAACCGTTTGTGTTGAAGCATTTACTTTAATAGTTTTGTAGTTCATTTTATTTTTGTCGGGTAAGGGTGATGATACTCGTATTACATTATTGTCATATGCTTCGTTTGAGTCAATTTGTATTGTATTTCTTCTTTGTTTACGAGTTAACTGTGATTTTTTATTACTGTCGATGTTCGATATTTTTTTGTACATATTTATAACATCATAGCACTTTTTCAATTCAACTTTTAAGTTTTCGTTTTCTTGAAGTAAATTATCTATTTCATTATTTGCAGTCAGTAACTTCGCATCCATTTCGCATATTCGATCGTTAAGTATCTCACAGCACCTGTTAGTGCCATCTATTGATGTATTTGGTAGACTCTGTATCGTTGTTTCAAATAACGAGCCAGTAGAAAGATTTGATATATCATGATACGACAAAGATTTTCGCTTAGAACGCAGTGTAACGTTTTCAAACTCCATTTTCAAATCTATTACTTTAAAAAAAAAAAAAAACACAAAAACAACAAGCCGCCGCTGAATTAGATCTCGCGACTTGCGATTGAAAGGGGCCCCGTTATCGCTATCGACTATCTAAGGCTTTTAGACGATCAACTGAAATTAGAGATCACTTTCCTCGCAAGATGTATTTGAATTCAAGCAAGTCGTTATGTATGAGTCATGGTGCAAAAATGTTCTCACAACATAGCTTAATTTACTTTTTCCAAAATTGTTTATTTGGTTCACAACTTATCACTTTATTTCAGCACTACTTTCTTCAGATTATTTATAGTTTATTAACTGTCATTTATCACTTTTTCACACTGAGAGTACTGTTTAATTTTTATCACGCTGTTTTTTTGCTGAATTCTTATTTTATTCAAAAGATAACATTCACACTAAGTAATTGGTTTGAAATCTATCCGCTAATGTAAAATAATGAGTATTTAAAGCACATTTATTGTTTTTAAAACTTATATTTTTACAGAGCTCTCTGAGATAACTTGTTATTGGCAACAGCGCCATCTGATCTCCAAACCATGATTATCATTTACATAAAACACTAACATATAATCTGGGTTACCGAAAAAAGGTGTATTAGTTAAATTTAAAAGATAAATTGAGCTTTTATTGTAGATATAGGCTTAATTAGGCTTACACCTATTACTATACCACTTTCAGCTCTTTATTGCACACTATGGGTAGACAACAGTGGTACAATGCTGCAAATTTACGTATTTTTTTATGATTATACCAAAAAGTATAATACAGATTTAATTAAACACTGGACAACATTTTAAAAAAAAAAAAACATTTTGCTAAATAAAATAAAAACCATCTGATAGTTCTTGAAGGTTAAGCTACGTACTTTCAGAACATAGAGATACATACCGCATCGGATCCTTGGTTTCGGACAGAATTTCAAGCAGCTCATCATTAGACAAGAAGAAGAAGCGTGGGAAGTACAAACGTTTCTTCTCCAGATAAGCATTCAAGCCTCGCTGGACCATCTCGAGCAAATTGTTTGATTTCTTTAGACGATCCAACATCTTTTCTATTTTGATAACGTCAAGGACCCGAGGCTCAGTAAAGGCTGCCTTCATTATCTCTCGCCACATCTAATAAATACGATAAATATTTGCTATAAAAAGAACCCAGAGTAGATAACAACTTACAACAATTTCATAATCAATAAGTTGCACATAAAAGTTCATTTTAATTCACCTTATCCACGGCACTGAATCTTCGTCCTTCTTCTGGAATTTGTTGCTGTATATCGGGTGATGAGAAAATGGGCTCTAGATACATCCATGTAGCTTGAACTTTCAGCCATTCGTCTAAAATTTCTTGCAGCAAAACTAATTTACCCTCCCAGTCGCTGTCAATTAATGATTAAAATACAAATTTGATTTGTTTAATAACCTTCAAAATAAGAAATTAGAGTGACAAGTTTACTTACTATATAATCTCTTCAAATGGTTTGATGTATGGAGAATTCTTCATAGTCTGGGTCTTAACAATATGATCATCCAATAGTAGCTGAATGTCGTCGACACCTGATAAAATGTATGTTCCAGTATCCCTAAAATTACATTCAAAATCATATTCGTTAATTTAATAAGAAATATATTTCGTTATTCAATAACGAAAACTACATGACGAATATGATAATATACTCATGATTAGGAAGAAAAAATAACGAACTTGTAAACTAATATCTCGAATCTAAGATCTGCCCATTCCTTCATCATCTTGTCAAGCGCTCGCTCGAGGTTATTTTCTTTGGTAGCAGCTTCCGATATATTCTCGAACTTCTCTATGTAATCAACCAGGTTGAAATCTATCACCTTCTCCAAAGTCAGTTCATCATCGACCACAATAGGGAACCCAACAATTTCTGATATCTTCTCCCAATGTCGCGGCTTCATGCCAGGGTTTCCTAGTGTTTGTATTATAGGCACATTTGTCTTGAAATCATCCATTCGTTGTCTGAAATCCGTTTATATATTGTCAGACAGACAGACAAAGATCAAGTAGACTGGTAGGGAATGATTACGACTAAGTTTGCTATTATCTGTTTTTATTAATAAATGATTAAAATTTCACTAGGAGTTTAACTATCCCGCGACCTTATCGCCTGACCCGTATGATAATATATAGCTTTGTTATTTCCTACAGTATATAATTATCGCGACCTTGATTTATGGTGGCGTTTCTCTTACAATATTTGATATTGCAAGTAATGTTTAACCAAAAGTCTATGCTGTGAGTGGGGGGATGCGTCATGCAATTTATCACTTCAGGCAACTGAATGATTTTGAGGACACGGTCAAAGCGATCTTTTCAAATGACACTAAAATATACAAATTCCACACAATTTTAATCCAATTTTCAAAAAACAAAAACCTTTAGAAGCAGACGCAAGCAGTGATGAAGTGATGTGATGCATATAACGATTAATTCTACATAAATAAAAACACAATTTTTGCATGCAATGGTGCAATGGTATCTGTGTACCATGGTGAAGTTATTGTTATACATTTTAACATCTGAACTTTTTAATATCTCTTTTTTATTTCCTACGGCAACATGATTAACAGAACAAAGGCATGGCAAAATTATCTTATCAGAACTAATCAGCTTACCTAACGGACGATGCAAGACGGAAGGTGTCCGGAACATCTTGAAACTGTTTTTCCAACTTGTATACAATCTTGTAGTAATAACTCACATCACCTTCTATGTCTTCGGGTTCAAAACTTCCTACCTGTAGCGATACAGAATATTTAATTGTTAGAATAATTTTTAGATAAGTTCGATTGGTGAACAAAGTTGCACTACTTTATGACAGTCGCCTACGCATGCACACTTTTTCGACTGCTAGTTATTCTAACATTTGTGTTAAATCAATGGACGAGCAGTTGTTCCGAGTGCATATACTAACAGTCTCTAGGCTGTAGCACTTCGGTCTGTAAAACGGCGAATACACACACTACAGCTTCTATACGCACGTACCGTGTATATTTAAAACAAAAAATTATAAATACTGAATACTAGCCCTGGACGACATCCATTCATGATGCTTCTGTAAGAAATCGTAGCCAGCGTCAAAAAGCTTTTTGAATGGCACCAATCTGTCATAGACATTTTTTCTCTTAGGATACTGAGAGATTTCCCAACCAAACGAAGCCTCTTCTTCGTTGAATTGATCAATTCTTGCTAGTGCAGTCGCTAACCTGGAGATCGAATTGAAATTAAAAATATATTTTATTCTAGTAGCTCAGCGATCTTACGAATATCTCACTAAACTTAAAACTGCCTCGTTTGTTCAAGGTTTAGCTTAAAGACTAAGGCCCGAAGTTCTCTGAACGTGTCCTCCCCCGGTGGCGTACGAATGCTATGGATGGAAATGCTCAGCGCTGGATTCTTAGAAACGTCGTTGGCGGCGGACAGTGCGAACGACGGCCGCACGCCGCGGCGTCTTGACTTTAAAATGTGTTTTCATTAGGAAAAACGAATTGTTAAATATTTTTATAAGATATAATACTAACTTGTTCGATGTATCAAACAACAATTTATGTGGGTCGGTGATTTTATGAATATTGTATTAGTTTTTTTTTTCTTTTCTTTGAAAACATCAGAAGTTCACCTGTCACTTCTTCTCTTCTCAATATTTATATATTTTCGTTCATTTTGCTCCGATTACAAACACGATTCACGATCACAATCACGACTACAAGACGCTAGCGCCCGCGTCCAGAAAATCCGCCTGCACGCGGCCGACGGCGTATGCCAGCGGCGGCGGACACGCGTCGGTCGTCGTCGCTCGCACGCGACCGCCGTTCAGAGAACCCTGGGCCTAAGGTAAATAATGGTGTCGACCACGTGTAGTTGCATATATGTTTATGAATAAAATTAATGCATATAAGATAACGTTAATGATATTAACCAACTCAATTTTTATAATTATATAGGAAATAGAAGCGTTTAGTAGAAAAAAAACCGAACGTGACAAATACAATTGTGAGATCGTTTCAAGTGGCATAAATTAGACTCATTTAAGTCAAGTAATTATATTGTTATTATAGCACTAGCATCATATCACAAGGTATTTGTGTATAGCTATGGAAAACAAACATGTGGATATATGGCAGTATAATCACCACACACTATAGAGTAGTTACCTGCCGAGTCTGTCAGTAAGAAAAATCGCTAATGCGCTATCGGATGAGGGATAGAATCACCAACGCATGAGTAATAATATCAGTTGTTTTTATTTCATTTTATAGACACTACCAACTACCAACCGCTTACCAATGCAGACAGCGAACACATAATACCTATGCATTATATCTAATAGTATAAATTTAATAAATGGAAGCTCACTTTTCATCTAAATGTCGAGCACGAGTTACATATTTTGGTAGTTCTTCAATCTCACCCCAATACTGTACTTCGTTGCACTGTATCTCATATATGTCCAAGTCTTCAATAAACTTGGCGATGCGAACCTACATAAATAATAAAATAAATATTATTTGTGTAAACACAATGACAAAACTAACAAACGTCAGTTTTTGAATTTATATTTTAAAAGTGGATAGATTTTAGAAGCATTCACTTTCGTCAAGAACTAAACATTACCTTCAGTAACTCCTGGTATTCAATCTTCTTGTGGTCACATATAACCTTTGATTCTTCGATAATCCCTGGCAAACGGGCATACCTGAATACGTATTATTCTAATAAGTTTATGTAAAATAAGTAGTTAAATTACACAAGTTATCAAATAAATATGAAATAAAAATAATTACTGATGAAGAAGTGACATGATAGTAGGTTTTCTTTACATGGTATAGGGGGGGAAAACAAGTAGACGGGACACTTGATGATAAGTGGGCACCTTCAACCTCTGAAAGGGGCTCAACCAATTCTTTCCTTGTTTTTCACTGAGTTTATGAGGATACACTCAGTGAAAACCAAGGTTTTTTTTTATTAAAACCTGATTTCTGTGTAGCTCTCCCACGATTTAGGTTTTTTTTTTACTAGAATCTAGGCCAGTTAGTTACTATATAAATTTACTTGCATAGTCGTATACAGTCAATTGTCAGTTTTAATGCAGTTTCAGAATGCACAAAATCTGAGTGCACATCATAAGTTCGTTATTACTTGCTATTTTAGACGGGTGATTACTTAGGTCTCCTTAGTATATCCAAAGACAGCATGACACTGTGTATAGAACTACATTTTCACTAATACGACGGTACAAGATATAAGACTTTTTTTTGACGGGGTGGAAAATCCCTTCGGATCTCCTGCTCCTCGGGGCTAGGAGCTAGGAGTATGTGGTGATTCCACTAAAAACCACCCCAACGGCCGGCCTCAGATGATAATTACTTACATAGCACACTGACTACACACATACACATCATTTATCATTTACACAAGATCATCATCAGCCTATCGCAGTCCACTGCTGGACATAGGCCTCTCCCATTGCACGCCACTTAGATCGATCTTACACAAGATAGGATACATTTAAAAGCAGGAATAAGATGTGGGCACACATAGGATTTAAGGACATTAGGGTCCTCTCATCGCTCAACAATTTAGGAAATGCTCCTTCATCATCATCATCATCATCAACAGCCTTTAATAGTCCACTGCTGGACATAGGCCTCTCCTTAGAAAGGAGGTTTCGGCCTACTATACCACGCTGGCCCGAAGGGTTGATAAAGGGTTTGTGTCAAGTTTTCTTCTTTTTGCAATGCTGGTGTTCTGCGTTGTTTTGCGCCCTTAGTCGGCTCTTACGACACCCACGGGATGAATTGGGGTAGTGACATTCCGTATCCTTAATCCGTCACTACACGGACAAATGCTCCTTCAGTATTTTTTTAAAGTAAGTGTGTGTTTGTGCTCGTCGGGCAGTGGTGATGTATTCCACAAACGTATGGCTTGCACAGTAAAATACTTTCCATAAAAGTTGTAGAATGCCTCGGGATTTTCAAAGTCAAGTTCTCCCATGATCTTAGCAACCTTGAATGCGTATCATGTATGAATTGGAAGAGTTTTTTTAAATAAAGGGGAGTATTGGGATTAAAGAGTATATTGTATAATAGTGAACGGAAATGGGTATTCCGACAGACGAACGGGTAACCAGTTGAACTTATTCCGATATTCAGAAACATAGCCAAATTAGCGCAATCCAACAATGAACCTTATCAGGATAGATCAGGATAGCTGGCATCTGCGTAATCGAGGCTTGGGAGAAGAAGGGATTCTGCAAGCGCGATTTTGGTTGTAACTGGTTACGCAGCCTTATCAGAGATATGGCAGAAGCAAACAATTTTTTACTGACTTCTTGTAGTCGCGGACCCCAGGACAACATTTTATTAAAATAAATTCCCAGATTATAAGTTACATATTCTCACATTTCATCACTTCTTAGTCGACCTTACGTTAGGTCAAGTAAATCACCATCATCATAAAGGCTACCAACACGCAGGTGTTGAACTTGCTTTATAAATTTGGGGATTATTTGTAGGGATTAGGTAAGTATAACATTTCTTATAAATACTGACTTTACCAATGAAAGCACTGATTGTTCGCCTTTATCTCCAGCGGTGTGAACGTGGTGTAGTCCCCTAAGAACACGATGTATTGCATCACGTCTCGTAACTTGTCCTCCATTTCTGTCACGATCGTGTCTTCTACAGTCTTGATGTAGGCTATCAGGTCCATCAGAGCAGCTGTGTCGGCCGGCGGAGTCAACAGTTTAGTCGAGATTCCATAATACTCATCATAGATGCTGTTGAATATATTAGATAATAAGCTACAGGAGTGCGTTAAGTTGTTACGTTGAAAAAATTTTTAATGAACTAACAAAAACACATTTAAGTTCACTTTATATCCAAAGCCGTATTTTAATTTTAATGTTATGTTCACCTTTTTCCACAGCATCTGGATACTTTATAGTAATATATCGCTTTAATGTACACCAGGTGTAAATATATAATAACCAACTTAAATTAGGTTAAACAAGTACAAATACTTTACGTATTGTTTTGAATTATGAAGAACTAGATACATCATTCACAGTTCCTACTATAAAAACCCTGTGACCCTATGAAATATAAGATTTTCCAAAATAAATAACTGATTAGCATCTTAATATCGATTTTTTTGCTCTTCTACTTTGCAATCACCATCATCTCAAAAATGCATGCCATTGCACTTATGACTGTAGGCCTCGCCCATAGGTATCCCGATAAAACAGTTTAAACAATCTCTATTCAAAGTCTAAAGGCTTTCACTTGGGCTATCGAAACATTTAGTACTCCCTATTCGTTACTTGACAAACTCTCTTCCCTAACGGTTGGTAGTTCAAAAGACTTTGCATTTAGGTAACAAATTGAAAACTAACGCTTTAACATTGGTTTGATAGTCTTCAGTCATTCTCCTCAATAAAGTGTTTGCCAGCCGTGTGGCTCCAGTGCGTAACGAAGTAATAAGTTCTCCACGTTGCATTTGAAACATGCCTATGACAATTGTACCCTCTAGTTTAGAAGGTATTTCACGAGCAAGTTCCACATATTTCACTGCCTCTGCACAATAGTCTTCGAAGGTTTTCTCACTATTTAAAAATGTTTGCACCTCTTCCATACTCTGTAAATCAACAACTTTAGTTTAAAGTTTATCCTATCCTCACTGGAGAACATTTTATAATTCTGAGTCTAGTATTTGATTCCAGGGTCGGTCCAAATGTGTATAATCTGCAAATATTTGTTTCTGGTGTTTTCTATATATAATATCTATATATTCAAATAAAAAGTATGTAAATATTTTATCAGTGAATCTAGCTTTCATGGTACAAGCTCTGCTTAGTTTGAGACTACACAAATCAAAAGTCTAAGCAACACGCTTCATTTACAAGTTAATACAGGGGATCCTGTTGAGCAGTACCCAGGACATGGAAGGAGTACAACTGCTCAACAGACGCACTGGGCACTGGGTGAACATATGGCCCTGTGTTCACTTATTTGCACAGTCTTGACTCAGATTTCGCAGACACGCAGCTCGGAGGACCACATAGTACTTGATAATGGAAAACATCCGGGTATTGCCATGACCTGAACAATCTCCAGACCTCAATGACATCGAGTACGCATGGGATATGCTCCAGAGACGTGAAACCTGAACAACCCAACAACTCAAAGGCAAGGTAAGGTAAAGTAAAAGTTTTAACTTTTACTACGTATATTATGGTACACATGTTGTTAATTATTGTGATTAAATAATGAAGGATTTTGGTGCTTTAGTCACTAATGCATCAAACAATGCTTGGTTATTATTTATAAAAGAAATATACATATATATTACAATAACAAAAATCGTTCAAAAGTTCAAAACCGTACATGATGCTTAGACTTTTTGATGTGTGTATATGGTGTTGTGTGTGGTGTCCGAAAAAAGTAAATAATTTCCGAAATAATAAGAAATGTACCTGTCCGTTCAATAAACACACGTAATCATCAAAATCTTGGACACGTAATTCCGGAGCAATTCTTTGTTCTGCTATCAAATCAGATATGAGCTTCTTATAATCTTCCATGAGATTTTGGTCAATTATAGGCTAAAAATTAAATTATAAATTAAACTAGGACTTCTCGGTTACGATTAGACTAAACGGCTTAAACTTACAGTAAACGATTTAAAAATAATAATAATAATTGAGGATCATTAACTAAAGAATAGATGCCATTTCGTAACGGTTTTATAGGTACTCGTATTAGTACTTATATCAAAAGATTAAGTATCATTCTTTTAGTTTAAGTAAAGTGAAGCTATATGGGAGCAGACGGGTCACCTGCTGGAAAGTGACTACCGCCGCCCATGGACGATTGCAACTCAGGAGTCACAAGCGCGTTGCTGGCCTTTGACGAAGGAGTACGCTTTTTTCTAGAAGGACGTATTAGTCCGGAAATAGCAAACATAGCGGTGGAGTGCCAATTATCCAAGTGATTGCGATAAAAATTTTGTACGATGGAGCAAAGATGCAGCCGGTATTAGTCCAAATAATACCTCGGAGCACTCGCCATGATATATACGATAGAAAATGCAGAGTGATCAAGAAAGCTCAAGCTCCATCTCTACGTAACGCCAAGAGGTCAAGCCGAACGGAGATCTTTTGGCTATCGACGATTCGATTCGCTCTTGTTGGATACAGTCCAGAGGGTGGAGCTGGTACTGGAGTGCCCCTGCGTAGAGATGAGAACAGTTTTCCATATGCGGATGGACTTGCGCCTTATATATAATGCCTAGAATGCCGATACTGGCTGATACCGGCTGATCTCACTTACTTTCCTTCTTACTCTAATACTTACAACAATGTCATAAAAGAAACCCAGGTGACTCCTGCTTCTTTGATCACTTACGTCATATACTGTTATTAATGATTATGTGATAATTATCATCGACGCAATTTAAACCCCCTTTTAGCAATGAGCTTTAGCAATGTTACTAAGCGGCTGAAAAGAGCTTCGTGAATGCCATACCTTCAATGTAATCCTATTCTCTGTACTATAATCTTGATACAAAAGAGTTTCAAGTCGTGGTGATTGGCGACATGCATCCATTAAGAAATCATACAATAGGTTTAGTTGATCCCTAAACTGTTTAAAAGTAGGATCGAACTCAATCGCGTCATTTGCAAATTTCAAATTAATAACGAAGCCTTGGTTGTTACCCTGTAATAAAACAACTGCAATAGTTAAAGGAGCAAGGACGTGATTATTCCCTCACATACATTTAACATAGACATCCACGATTTTTTACAATATTATTAATGTTTCATCATTACCTACACAAAAAAAAAACTGTTTACTTACTAGAAAACTTTTACTATAAAACATTGTAACACACATCAAACATGTAACAAAAATATCATGTGCGATATTCTTATAAATACGGCTGCATAGAACGCAATCGTGGTATTCTCGCTCAGATCAGTTTTGCTAATAACACTGATGTACCTGAGACCACGGTGTTATGTACTTAGTTATATATATTAACAATGCAACCAGGCCCCTCTTTCCCACTGGGCACTCTGGGCACGTGCCCAGGGCCCCTCGATTGATAGGGGCCCGATTCCTGCCAGATCACCAATCGAAAATCAATATTTATCACCGAAAAACATAATTATTTCGAAAAATCCATCTCTAATGACTGACTACAATACTTTTTTGTCCATTCTAACAAAAATAGTGTTTAGCTAAGTTCGTAGGGGCCCCATTATGCTAATTTGCCTAGGGCCTCCAATAGATTAGAGACGGGCCTGAATGCAACGAAAATTATACCTGTGACACGTTTATAAAAATTTGTTGCAATAAATGAAAATACGAGTGTATATAGGAAATAGTACTTACACCAACATCCATAATATAATCTGTAAACTCCTTCATTGACTTTAGACATAGCGTTTGAAGATTATAAGTCATAATACACGCCAAACAGTTGTAAAAATGCTTCATTTTAGACACTTGCTTAGGATCGGGGATTTGTTTCTTTTTACTCCCCTGTAAAGTAAAAAAATAAAAAGGTTTTCTTCACACTTGGATGTGCCTCAAGGCTCACTTAGTGCCCAGTGTTGTCAATTTTTATTTTTAAAAACTTTCAATCATTTAACGACCATCATACAGAACGGTTTTCTATTTGTAGATGAATGATGATGATGATATTATCAGGATTAAATCACAAAAAACTAGCAATCTCGTTCGAGATTATTTAAGTAGGCTGGAAAAGTAGGGCAGTTTAAATCATAGCGGCTTAATGTTGACAGATGTTACCATCTTAGTTTTCCCAAATAGAAATATCTAGCATTGTCTAGGTACAAGACAAAACGCGAACAGATTTCGAAAATTGAGACTTGGAGTTCCTACTTATTAACAGTTTTGAAATGCTTAGCATCTTGAAGCGCTATGCAGAACACAAAATGACTTAGGCCAATACAAATTAAAGTTACATTATACAAGTTTTTTGAATAAATTATTAATGCCGTAAAAAAATCATAATTACATGATTTTTTTTTTATGTAGTCCTAGAATTTAGTCAAATAAAAATTTCTTAAGTCCACTAAAGATGTCGTCAATAGCTTAAACAGACAATAATCATAGTATTTCAAGTTCGACCTTCTGTCTGATATGCATGTACTGTACAGCACTCGCTGCAGATTATTACAGTTAAAATGTTCCTTATAATTATTTTCAACGTAAGAAATAAAACCCAAGGTATAGAGAGTACCCAGCATAGAGATATCTTATCCTTAAACTATAACCATACGTAAATAGCTCATGTTAAAAGGTCACTTAAAATGTTTTTGCATAAGAACATTTAAATACAATAGTTACTTTAGCGCCATCTAGCGAGGGCAAGCTTAACTATAGGTGTACATGGTGACTACTAATCTTGTATAATACAGTGAAAAGTCCCACGCTGAGTAATAAATATTCAGTTTATATAAGTAATACATAATATAACCATAGTATTATACAATACAATACAAATACAATACTCTGTTACTCGACATTTTTTTCAGAAAGTAATAGATTAATAGTATCTACCTGAAGAAAAACCGCTTGAATTGTAGGAATCCACTGGTGTAAAAGTACTGTACCGGCAGCATCGATATGTCTCTTGCAAATAAAACAAAAGTCTTGCAACTCGTAGGCCTCGTTCGTTGTCATTATATCTTTCATACTGATCAACCTTAAATCACTGGAACGAACCAAATCATGCGTAATGTGGGAGATATCTACTCAATGCTCACTCAGACAAATATATTACAGATCAAGCTGGTATCATTTTACGAATGAATCTTTGTACACGCATGTGCAAACATTCTAAATAATTAGGTATGATAACTCACTCCCTCGATTGACATTATCTTTAGAAATTTTGAAATACAGAGTAAGAAGTTCTACGTATTACATTATTAATCTATTAGTACTTTAAAATATTAACATCCTGTATTTAACATCATAGTCTAGCGACTGCCTGAAATACATCTCACACACCTAGCTCAGGCCGTTGCCAAAGAAATGCAATACTTTGTTTTTTTTTTTACTATCCACTCTTGCACATTTTAGAATAGTAATAATATAAGTATACTAGTTTTATATTAGCTTTATATAAGAATCTAATGACAATAAGATGTAAATCATTTACAAAATGTAACTAAGACCTTATTCTTATTCTGCAAATGAATTTTATTATTTTGATAATTTATTATTTAATGAGTGGAACGTGGAGTTGAACGTCTACAAAATGCCTGCAAGAAATAAAGAACCGGGATCATCGAGGCACTAGGCTTACGGGTGGCCCTGCATAAGACGGAGGCCCTCTTATTCCATGGTTCCGTAGTGGTCCAAGCCCCGTCGTGGTCAACTCAGTCCTCGTACCAAATATTTCAACTAGGCCTGATCATTAATAGGAGATGGTTTTTTTGGCTCCAAAGCTGGTCGGCGTTGCGTTTTCCGATTAACGGGACGCGGTTACTGCACCGTTTCGACGACGACAGCCGATAGCGAAAGATGTTTTACCGCGGTTGCACCCTTCTCGCAGAAGAAGGCGGCGGAGGGGGCCCGGTACGACAACGTCCACTCGGACCCAATTCGTCGCCGGCGAACAAACGGGTTTTCCCCTCAATCCGCTATAGTGGCCAGCCGCGAGAAGACGACGTCCGTGTGTATCCTAAATAGAGAATTCACCGGTACCACACACCGTGTGGTTTTAGTCGGTCCGATTCCAACACACCACCCCGTCGCAAAATCCCGGTAGGGTGACGGCCCAAGGGAGTTTCCAAACGTAAAAAAAATTGTAACCTGATGAAAAATATACTTAAATATATTATATAGAAAAAGTGATCGTGCTCATCACACAATTATTTGCTGTAGTTAAGTACGACCTCCGGCTTAGCAGTCAGGGTCGCTAACCACTAGACTAACAGGAACGTCAATATTAAAAGTAGGTGACCGTAGCACTAAATTTGATAAAATAGGGAAATAAGCTAAATATCAAATTGAAAGTAAAAAGACACAGAATGTCAATCTCCGAGAGAAAAGCAATTAAAAGAACTAAAACATAAATTATGCACGCATGTAATATATGTGTCACGATAAACACATGACTTAGTAGCTGTCCTAAGTATGTTAAAATTAGGTTATTAGTTATCACCTAAGTAAATATTTGTTATAAAATGCGATGAATCTTTTTAAAAACTTACTTAAACTGCCTATACCAAATTTGTAATACTTGGGCGATGCAAGGGTTTACAGTATGAAGCTGTTTCGTGAGATAGCTATGTGCCAGAGCGTAACGATTTCTCCAAGCGTCATCTTTTTTAGCCATTTCTTGTTTCAAAGGCGTATCTTCTTCTTCGAGGGACTCTTCCTATGATTTTTATAAAGATAAGATATTAAAAGTCATGTATACATTTCATAGCACTGTTTATGAAGACCGAACTAATTGCTTTTTTAACGTTGGTTTCAGCATTCGAACCATCTAAAGGTAAAATCTAGGCTACTTCTTATCCCTTGATACTGTTTAATATATAATATTAATTTCTCACCGTATTAGGATCTTTAAGTACGAAATCTACAATAGCCTTCTTCATGCTCATCATGAAATCCTCACGCATTTCATCTGTGCATGTAAATAATGTTTCTTTCCATTTCTTTAGTTTTGGAGAAATTAAGTTGTGTACTCTGTAAAAGGGAAATGTTATTGGAACTACTATATGCTTGAAGTTAATTTATACTACCTTAAAATTATAGAGGGAACATGAGGTTAAGTGAAGGTTAAACCAACTCTCGGCCCAGAGTTTAAGTATTAAATAGATACGTTAGTAACGTAATTATTATTTTTCAAGGATAAAGAATAATGAACCCTTTTAAAATTAAAAACTTACGATCGTTTGCTTGCCCTCTATGTTATACGTTCACGATCATAGGGCTGAGAGAAGAAGTATCAGAATTGAAGAATTATTAAGGGCATGTAAGTATCACGTTCAATAGGTAAAGACGTGAACACACATATACAAAATATAGAAAGTTTTACTATTCTGGATTGGAAAATACGATTTAAAATTGGAAGACAGGATTTAAAATTATAATTAAGCCGATGAGCGAGTCTAATTAGTTTTTTAGAGGTGTTTGATCTATAGACGACGCAAGCTCACTGTATTCACTCTTAAGTTCACCCCAGAGCAAAGAACTAAATACACATTACGTAGGTGGTTAATGCTCTTACCTTAATATTATTTTATTATCCAAAGGCGCTACATGTATTGTATCTATACCGTAGCGTAGGTAGTAATAATACCGTAGCATATTTTGTTCCTCGCCCGAGGCTATATTATCACCAGATTGTTCCTCGTCCGGATCAGACTGGCATATCAAATTAACAAGTTTTAATCTAAATTCCTCGCGGGCTTTCCTCATGGCAGTAAAACTTTGCATGACTGTAAATATTTTTATAATTAGCTAATGATACGAATAAGACCAGTTATAATAAAAAAAAACTACATACAAAATATAGTTTGTTGTGACGCATATTTTCATTCGTTCATCAGCCCCCGCCCCATCAGGATAGCCCCCGGATAGATCCCGGTCTATGTGATGCATATAAAAACTCTAAACATCGGTGAAGTCACTAAATGTGGGAGACTTGGTATTTCCTTTCGTAAAGCATGTATTTGTGAAATTATGAAGCGCCAGCGACTCATAGTCACGCATGGAAGTTCTACCGACTTACTAGTTAAGCTTCCTTCCTTACTCAATTTGAGCAGAAAGTTGCTATGCTCACGTTTTCTAACCAAGTAAGCAAGTAAAAAGTTGGCAAGTAGCGCAGTACTCAAGGTGCTCAAAAAAATAATGCTTTCGTTGAATAGATTAAAAGAGTATTCGATTTAAAAAAAAGATTTTCAATAGAATAATAGAGTATGACAAGTACCACTAGACTGCTTTCGACTTGGACCTTTCGACGCTTGTAGTTTTGTTGCCTTGGTAGTCGGTGGAGGAAGCTTTAAAACTTCTTCCGGTAAGGAAAATAATGGCCGTGTTCTTATTTTAAAGTCTTCCGGCATGGAAATTTTCGGTATCTTTGGTAATTTGACATCCGAAGATGTTGTCGAGCTGCTTTTCTTGCGTGTCGGCTTATTTTTCTGCATTTTGTGACCTTCAACTAAATAACAACAGTACATTATCTATAAGAGATTTCCACGTATATAGTCACTCATCACGATATCTCTGGAACCATTAGAGCTAAAGACTTGAAATTTGGTAGGAATATTCTTTTCACCGAGTAGAGGTCAGCTAAGAACGGATTTTAAGAAATTAAAAATAATAATAATAATGTAAATAGCAAAACAAAGTTTGCAGGGTCAGCCAGTATTATATACAGCTATTTTCGAGTCTTAAAAACAACACTACAGTTATGGTCAATATTATGCTAAATGGTAGACCTAAGATCCATGTAATCCACATGCAGCACTTTAGTTTTAAGTTTACGACTTCTAGTTCACAAAAGGTTTTATCCAATGTATTTTTAGTACAATAGTTTCATGAAGAGATTACCAAACACTAGGTATTCTAAACTCTACGTAATTTAGCTATCAGTAGCAGCAGCAATCAAATTAACGCGCCATAACAAAAACCCAATCATAAAAAGTGTAGGTATGCGATGCGACTCTTTCCAAACACATTAAAAGAGCTTTAATAGTATGATATATATTTTAATATTCATATTCTACAAATACTTTTAAAAATATTTAGGTATTTTGTAGAAATATTTTATTTACACAAACACGATATTTATTAAAGATGAAATGTTCTAATAGCACTAACTAAACGGATCTTGACATCTTGAGTTCAGGTAAAGTATGTAAGTTATGTGATTTTATGGTAAAACCAGATTAATGAATACAGTCTCTAACCAAATTACATAATAATTCTGCTTTTAAGTCCCAGTAATAAATCCTGAAAATATCGAAAAGTATATTACTCACTGGATTTTATAGCACGCCAAAAAGGTAACCACTGAAAGTGTATATATTTTTTGGTTATATGCACAACTTAATAAATACCCAAAAATACTTTCTTACTATTTATAACTAATTAAACAAATTAATATAACTAAAATTAAATCCATGTCGTATTTAAGAAGTTAGACAACCTGTCAATACAAAGTTATTGATTTCTCCATGACAACAGCTAAATAGTCTTCATTTGTTTGTTTTATTTTTCACTATTGATGTAATAATGACAGATTCTAAGGTTTTAATAGAAAGGGGTTTATCTGTGGTTTCATAACAATTAATAATTATTTTATAGGTTATAAATTGGTGGATGAAACTAAGAGTGCAATTTTATTCAAAGGTAAATTTTTCTCAAATCAAGATTTTATAAATAAACTTTAAATTTGTTAATGTTTTACTTGCTGTTGTAAATACTTAAAAAGCTTTTCCAGTTTGTTTATTAACAAAAGACTAGCTTTAATGACACTAAGATGTTGGGGTTCTAGTATAATTATTTTAATTGAGTTTTCATACTGTGCATAAATTTAACATGTAAATAGTGTGTCTGTTAATTTTTACATAAGCAGTTTTGTTAACATTGAAGTTCTAACAGTGCATAAGTGAAAAAAATACTATTTTACAGGAGAATGAAATAACTGTCATACCTACTTAACAACTGGAACAAAATTCTGAAATAGTAAAACGGTTTTTGTAACAATTTTTTTTGATAGATAGTTGAACTATATGTTCTCTTAGTTGAAAGTGAAAAAAAATGTAATGGATAATTTTCCAGAAACAAATTCATATAGATTCTCCTTTTCAATTAGTTAAAAGAAAACACAGCTTTTTTCATCAAATGAAATCAAAATGTTACAACTGCATCAAAAGACTTAGGTACACACTGGTAGAATTTCCCTGATAATACTATTGTTGTTGTTTGTACCCAAATGTTTTAATTCCTTCTTTGAAAAGAGATTTAAAAAAATGCTTGTGTTACCTAGTATTTGGGACATATTATTCTTCTTCTCAGCCAAAAGACGCCCACTGCTTTACATAACCATCTCCCCCCCACCCTCCACTAGTTTTGCCACAAGAACGGGTCCTGTGCTGCCTGCATCATCCGGTATCTGGAGACCTTCACCTTGGGGGGGGGGAGGGTGTGATTTAAGAACTGCTTTATAAATATATAATTAATATAATTTTCAGATGTTATTCCAGTTGATCCGGCATTTCCACAAGGGTCCTGTGTGCAGAGCCGCAGAGTCCTCTCTCCTAGCCAAACTTAGAAAAAAAACTGGCTACACCATTGCTAATTGCAAAAAAGCTTTAGAAATGCATAACAATGATTCTGAACAGGTATAATAATTATTAATAAATTGTCAAAATACAGCTCATAGGGGTAAAAGTTAATCTTTAGTTGTTCTTTAAATACAGCTAAACATTTATGTGTGTTTCGGTATTTGCACAAATGTGATGTGTAATATTATGTAGAACTGGATGCACTCTTTGTTTAAACCAAATAGAGTCTGCTTCCCTAACTTCCTGTGACATGCTGCAATCTCTTTTCATGACATCACTCCGTCAGATTGGAGAAGAGAGAGGAAAGATGTTACTCTATAATAAGTAAAGAAAGACTTTTCTAACTCTGTTTTTACAATTTTTCTGTTATAGAAAACATACTTAACTATATTTCCTAATGTCACTGTGTGCAGTGACATGTATTTACTACAAAAAAAATTGTATAGAAGACTTTGTTATAATATAAATACTGCCAAAATAGATTCGAGCTAAATTTTGCATTAATTGATCCTTACTGTATAACAGTTTTTTATATTGTGTTATGCAAAATGTATACCTAAGTCTACTTTAGTTTAATTTTTACACTATTTTTACTTGTGACCTTGAAGATTAAAGTTACTATTGCATTGTAAATAGTAAAATTTTTATTAATGTATTTTGCTCTCTTTTCAGGCTGAGGCATGGCTGAATGAGCAGGCTCAAGCTATGGGCTGGGCAAAGGCTACAAAGCTTGCAGGACGCACAGCTCTTCAAGGACTAGTTGCTGTGAAATTTGATAAAGGACATGGAGCACTAGTAGAGCTAAACTGTGAAACAGATTTTGTTGCCAAAAATGACAAATTCCATAAGATGATTGAAGATGCTACCATTGCATGTTACAAATTTGCTCACACTCACTTGACAGCAAAAGGACCAATCACAAAGGTTTATTAATATTTCATTTCTGAGGTTTAGTACTATTAATTAAGGATGAAATAAATATCTGGCTGGATACAGGATAATTAGCCAGAGGTTTTTTATTCCGAAATCACATGTATAATTTACTTATAAAAAAATAGAAAGTATAAAGACCTTACTAAGACAAATTATGGTCAATGATTGCTAATTCAAAAAGCTGTTTTGTGCTAAATGATTGTTATCCTTCAAATATAGAAAAAAAAAATTCAATGTGCACACAGGTAGGTTCAAACAAGTGAGAAAATAAATAAATTTCTCACCATTAAGAACAAAAAGATGTTTTTTAGTTGTCTTCACTGATATACAGACATGTACCTAATCTCTAGGTTATAAAATATTTCGAAAGAAGAAAATCCTCTTTATAAATTTGGATAGAAACTATTCTTAAGGTCTTTCTGCTTGAACAACTCTCACATAGTTTGTATGTTAATTAAAAATAATGTTAGTAGATTAATTACATATTCTTAAGGAGTTGAAAAGACTTTCTAGTCGTATAATTCAACTTACGACGTCATATGTTATCAGTAGCAAGTTTATTTATCGAGATTATCTTTATTAATTTTGAAGGCAACAAAGCACTGCCTTCGACATGCAGGTCCAACGAATAGGCGGCTTTCCGGGCCTAACAGCTATCCATTTCATCTGTCTTTATGAGGATGCTTTTAGGAGTTAAAATCGTGGAATAGATTTTACATGTGTTATAACATGTGATACTTACATTAATAAAAAAAGCTGTAAACAGTAAAAGGAGGTAACCTAATAGGTATTACTAACTCAATGTAGTATTTATCTGCTGTTTAGTATTGTTAGTCCTCAATGCAAGGGATTGTTACAACCACTTACATGTAGGTGTAAAAACAGTCCCATTTCATTTATTCATTTTCTAATATTATCTCTTTTCAGATGGAGTTAGATAGTGAACAATTAGGGAATCTTCCTGCTGAAGGTGGAAAAAAATTGTCAGAAACTTTGGCTTTGTTTATTGGATCTGTCGGTGAAAATGCAGTTCTTAGGAGAGCAGAATGTTGGAAGGCAAATAGTAGTGATATCAAAATATCTGCTTATACACACCCTGCTCCAACTGTATCGTCCGACTATTCTGCTGGCAAATATGGCGCACTACTTGCATACAAACAACCAAATGATGTAGAAGATATAGGCAAGCAACTTTGTCAACATATTGTTGGCATGGCTCCTAAAAAGATTGGTAATAAAGAAATAGATAAACCAGCTAAAGATGCAGATGATGAACAAGCTCTTATATTCCAAGAATATTTGTTAGACCCGTCTTACACTGTAGAAGAAATCTTAGAAGAGCATAAAGTTCAAATTATTGATTACGTAAGATTCTCATGTGGTGAAGTAATAGAAGCAAACATGCCAGGTGTAGAGAAACAACCATTGGATACAGTACAAACATTGCAGTAAAAAATATATAGTGCTTCAATAACTAAATGCAATCATATAATTTCAGTTATGTGAAATTCATAGGACATATTTATTTTGTATTGTTAAGAAATAAACAGTTTAAACACTACCTTTAAATTTCTTATATAAAATATAAGTATACATATTTCATAAACTTTAATTAACAATCAAAATATTTTATTAAACATTATTTAGCTCTTTCTGTGTGACTCAGCATGAATAACATTCTTCATTTTGGCTTTTCCTTTCCACAAGAACATTCTACAATCTTTCTTCCAAAACATGGCTATCTGATTAGGTTCAAAGCAATAGCCATGGTAACTAAGCACTTCTGGCGAGACCACATGGAGCGCTAGTGTATTCTGTTCTCTAGTTCTGAATGGTCCAGTAGTAGCTGGCCGAAGAAGGCAACCACATGGGCACACTGCAGCTATTTTAGGCGCTGACATTACATTTATCCTATTACATAAGTTTATTCTTTGGAAGTTGCCACATAACCTGAGTTCTTCGACGGCTCCGGTAAAAGATTGTGTGGCCCGTAGCGCAAGGGGCCTAGCATTTTGGTTTTCAGGGTTGTTTCTAAAGCCTACCGTAGATAATGATTTTTTGGTAATATTTGGGCTGTCCTCCGGGCTTCTATCTTCGTACTCACTTTCTTTATCGGAAGTTTCATCTGTGAACATGATTTTTGTAATTAACGTATTTAACACAAACACGAATTTGAATTGACAGTTTTCTTCGTTTGTTTCCCGCCTTTAAAAAGCTGTAATACATAGACTAAGAAGAAATTAGGTCGTAAGCAAGTGCATCCTTTTTAGATATTTTTTTTAATGTATTGCAACTGCTACGTATCTGATACTTGCATTTTTCTTCACCCATATGAATTAAAAACTTTTTGCACTAAAATATAAACATAAGAATAAAGCGAAGGCAGTGTCGCGCGCTTCGAACTAAGCATGTAAATTTCTAGATTTAAATTAAATATGTTGATGTTGTGACGTTAGATCCTATTAATATTTAAGTTTAGTTATATTATGTTTTAGGTATAAAATCATTCTTACGGAATGCTAGCTAGCATGCAATCCTAACATTCCTACGTTAGACGGATACTAGGACGATGTGACTTTAAAAACCCTAAATAAAAATGACGGAGTTTTAGAGTACATTAATAACATTTGTGCAATTTACTGTGATATGTCACAAGCGTTTGACTACGTTGATCATGGTATACTATTCAGTAAACTCAAAGCTTACGGAATAAGAGGCAATATTTTTGATTTGATCAAATCCTACTTGACAAATAGGCAACAGATAACTCAAATAACTAGAGTAAACCCTAAAACTAAAAATGAAGAAACGTACACCTCCATGAAGCGTTATGTTTCATATGGTGTTCCGCAGGGCAGTGTCCTTGGGCCACTTTTATTTATTATATATATCAATGACTTACCAAATGCAACGATTCAACCGATGACCCTATTCGCTGATGACAGTACGGTTACTATTTCATGCAAGGATATCAACAATTATGAACTTGACATTAATAACTCATTGACATCTATTATTTCATGGCTCACTAATAATAATTTAAAAATTAATTTGAATAAAACAAGTATAATGCATTTTAATCAGAGAATACAAAATCCGTTGCAAGTAAAATTAGTTTATGACAATTATACAGTAAAAGAAGTAACCAACGCTCGATTTCTTGGCCTCATTATAGATAGTAAATTAGCTTGGAAGGATCACATTGAAACATTAAGTAAAAGAATCAGCAGTCTATCATATGCCTTATTTAAACTTGCTCCAATAGTTACTACTGATGCACTTCTCTCAGCATATTATGGCCTTGTTGAGTCGGTTCTGAGATATGGCATTATTTTCTGGGCAAATTCGACTTGTAAAGATGTAATCTTTAAAATGCAAAAGCGATGCATTAGAGCCATGTTCGGAATCCAAAGTAGTGAAAGTTGTAATCCGCTTTTTAAAAAATACAAAATTCTCACACTACCGTCCCTATATATATTGGAGGTGGCTACCTTTGTAAAAAAAAATCCTCACTTATTTCCTAAGCTATCGGACCATGTAAGCCGTAATCGCCGCGACAATGATAGACTTTGTGTCCATCCAGCAAAAACAGCCCTGATGCATAAAAGTGTCGTATGTAAGGCGCCGTTGATGTTTAACAAAATTCCCAAATATATTAAGATCTTGGACATGAATGAATTTAAGACGAAATTTAAAACATTATTAGCTGAAAATTGTTATTATAGACTAGAGGATTTCTTGAATGACAACACTTTATAACCATAATGATATAATGTATCATTGATGATTTTTTGTATGATTGATGGATTATTGATTGCAGTAAATATATTTATGTTGAATATTGAATGTTTTAGATTAAATAAATTAATGTAGACGGTTAATAGTTGATAATGTATACCTATAACCATGATATTCGAGTCCTTTCGTTGTAATTGTTTTTTCTTCTTTTTTTGATTTTTTAAAATGTTTTTAAACGATTTTATGTTACATGTAGAAAAATGCTATTGTTAAATTAATTTTATATTTGTACACCGGTAACGGTCAAACATGTCGATCAGGCAATATTACTTAACATCTTTAATGTACACATGTTTATGCAAATAAAATATCTTGTATCTTGTATCTTGTAAAATTTATCGTATCATAGATTGACTACGCAAATTTACCATAAATATGTTTTTCTTTTATTATGTATTTTTCAATTCAATTCAATTCAATTCAATTTAATTTATTTGCGATAATATGGGTTATACAAAAAGAAAACTTATTTTTTTTTTGCATGCCTTGAGGTAGAATGTGGCTGCTCATTGTTGTAACACCTTAATATGTATACCCATGTTCGCAAAATAAATTATTTGATTTGATTTGATTTGATTTGATTAACAATTTACCAAACATTTATATCATTGTACCAAACCTTAGGGATGCTAACTGTCTTCAAATAAATGTAGGTAAAGATATTTGTATTTTCGCAATGTATAGGCCGTTTCGTTTTCCCTTTGCATGATGGTCATGCAAAGAGATAACGAACTTTCTATGCTCCGTGGACCAGGTCGTAACTAGCAATTCGGAATATAATGATTATTGGAGACATTAACATAGATATTGCAAATGAGAAGATAGACGCAAAAGTTCAATAAAACCTCAACCTTAACGCTAGTCATGAACTCTCACTATGAACAGTCTGCTCATCATATCCTCTGGGAATGTAGTCTTTGGTATAATGAACGTAATATAATGCGTGTGCAAGTGACTTCGTGGGTCACTGCTGTTGATCCTGGTGTACAGGAGTTATAGTGGTGGGCGTGTGGGTGGGATTAGTCACAATAGTCATGGACTACTACCAGGTCATACTACAATTACGCATGTCAAAACTTCTATTGACCACGCCCTCCTTAAAAAAAACTAAAAGCTCTGACTATAGTCATCAATTCTACAATTACTTACCGATCACAATGCTGATCTAGTAACTCTCGGTAAAACTAAACTGCATAAACAATGCAATATGAAGACAAGAATAGATTACATAAAGTTAGAAGAACAATTACTAAAATGTAATTATTCACATATATATATGTATAAATATATAATGCGTGTAAAGATGAACCATGTACAAAATGTGTACATATACTTTATTAATTCCTTGAATAAAGCTACAGAAATGAGCACCGCAACTTGTGCTGTGTAACATGGTCTGAAAATTCTTAAGACATGGATTACCCTGAAAGTATGACTGACTGTTCGACTGACGAAAGCCCAATCAAATCCAAAATTTGGGTGAGATCCATTAGAGAGGTGACTCATTCCAAGAACATTAAATCGACAACAAGTAATCTACTAAAAATTAAAAGTTCGGCACAGGAATCAGTAAGCTTTATTAACAGAGTTTTGACAACAAGTAATCTACTAAAAATTAAAAGTTTGGCACAGGAATCAGTTAGCTTTATTAACCGAGTTTTGTTAAAATTGGAAAAGAGTTAGCAAATGAAATAGCAAGTACAGTAGAACAGAACATTAATTGTGCTAGAGAATCATCAGGGGCTCACCCAGTCATTCACTTGTATTCCTAGAAACTGATCAGACAGAAGTAGAGCGTGTGCTATTAACATTACGCAGTAATTATGCAGCAGGCATCGACGGCATATCATCCGATTTGCTTAAAGAATATCGAACAATCTTAACACCTCCGCTAACATATAATGAATCTTAGTGTAAACACTGGAGTCTTTCCAAGTTTACTGAAGAGAGCTCTCGTGCTACCTATCTATAAATCTGGGTACAGAGAGCTCGTCATCAACTATAGACCAATTTCCATACTCCCATCAATATCAAAAATCTTGGAGAGAATTATGAGAAACTTCCTCCATACAAACAATCTTTTAGGTAATAATCAATATGGTTTCCGCAATAAGTAATCTACTAACGGTGCTGTTCATGACCACACATCATGTTGTAGAGATATTGGATAAAGGAGAAAATGGTGTTAGTATTTTTCTGCCCTTGGCAAAGGCATTCGACGCGCTCTCTGTACCATTGCTAAAGCTGAAGTTGGAAAATATTGTTAAAAGGAGCAAGAAGTTAGAATTGTTTCAGATCTACCTGACCGATCGTACACAATCTGTGAAAATTGGTAAACATCTCAGTGGGAGCGTGCCCATAAATCATGGCGTCCGTCAGGGTAGTATTCTTGGGCCCACACTATATACAAGGAATTCCTTGTCTATATAAACGATATATGCTCATTGGAACTGGAGGATATAAAACTACTGGCATTTGCTGATGGCACAGCATTGATTTTTAAATGGTATAATCGGAACCAAGCTTTTAATACTGCTCAAACTGGCTTTGATAAGGTAATGAATTGGCTAACACTAAAGGCCTTGTCTACAAATGTAGACAAGACCAATTATTAGACTTGTACCATAAAGGATTCAGTTGATGTAGATAAGGTAACATTTCCAACTATCGCACATAATCATCTAGTAAATACTCATAGCACATGTAACTGTCCTAAATTAAATAATACTACTACAGTGAAATACTTGATGAAAGTTTTTCATCTTTACACATTTAGCTTTACACCTCACATCGATCTTTTAACAGAACGAATCAGTGAGTTAATCTATATTTTTAAGCACTTGAAGCATGTCACAGACTCTAAAATTTAAAAAACAGCTATTACTCATTATGTCAAACGTTGATAGGATATTGTATTTTATTCTGGGGTGGCCCTGCAAAGTGAAATTTGATACGAGTGGATCGAGCGCAGAGAGCAGTACTAAAAGTGACAAACTTCAAGCCATATCGTTTTCCCAAATCAGACAGTCCTCTTTGCAGAGGATGCCTGAAAGCAGAAAAAACGGCCACCCACGTTATACTGGAATGCGATGGAGTGGCCAAACAACGGCCAAGTACTATACTTGGTACAAAATCGCTTCTAGAAGCCTGTAAACGCCCCAGGAGGCTTTTGCGCTTCTGGAAGGAGATTGGCTGGCTCACCTAGCCAGCTTCTTCTAGACGCATAAAGGACCACTCTCGAGTCGACAGGTGGTATCCGAGGGGATTTCCGCACGGAAAAAAAAAAAAAAAAAAAAAAAGGTGTAATATGCTCAAATAAAATAATATATTCATCATCATCATCATCATCATCATCATAATCAGCCTATCGCAGTCCACTGCTGGACATAGGCCTCTCCCATTGCACGCCACTTAGATCGATTTTGGGCTTCTCGCATCCAGCTCCTGCCAGCCATCTTGCGCAAATCGTCACTCCACCTGGCCTGTGGGCGTCCTACACTACGTTTGCCGTTTGCCGTGACTCAATTAAAGAGTAGAACTGGTTAAGAGGGAGAATAACTTGTTATCGTAACTGAAGTCTTACTGTCGCTGTATCAGAATCAGTTGTCCTAGATTCGGAAAGTAGGTACCGTTATGCTTGCGTGTAAAGCTCTACTAAGTAGGTGGGTAAATGCACTAAAACGTAGGTATTTATCTTTTTGACAAGTTATAGTTTCTAAAATGATCAATTTATTTACTGTTTGTCAAGTTGTTTTTGCCTTGACTTCGTTGTAGCTATTAAAGTGAATGGTTATCTCAGATTTCTCAACTCCAAAAAAATATAATTATTACCTACCTAAGCACTAACAACAAGTACTGGTTTGTTAGTGGTGGATGGCACAATTTTTAATTGCCCGTAGGACATCACAAACTTTTCAAATGCCGTCGCAACCAATGGAACCATTGATTAAAATATGTTGTCTAGCTTCTTAGAGATTTTAATCGTGTGAATTATCACGCATTAGCAAAAAATTTTTTCATTTCTCAATTCTCCTGAATACCTGTTTACCCAGTTCCATTTCCTATGCTCCAATCACAACCGAAATTATCGATGAACAAATAATATTGTCCTTCTTTGATCCCTCACACTTTCAATTTGATCAATTCTTCCTTCTATATACAGTCAGTTCTTCTCTGGCATGCGCTCCTAAATGATATTAGGACGTCCAGTAACCAGTTTTCGTTCAAGAAAAAGTACAAGATCTTCCTCAAAATAACCCAACCATGTATTTTAATATTTATATTTGTGTGTGTATTGTATGTACTATAATATGTTCTTATGAACTGCACGGATGGCGTGCGGTCGCGACGCCGCCTACTACTACGCGGAGTGTTGTGGGTCCGATCCCCACATGGGACGACACTTTGTGTGATCCACAAATTGTTGTTCTGAGTCATGGTGTTCTTTATGTCCGTTTCATGTATGGTTGTAAAGTCCCCCGCGACACAAGATAAATTCCTAACGCATGAGTTGTCATTTTAAATAAATTTAAAAAAGGATTGTGCCGTGCCAACCTGCGTTATTATTAAACGATTCCCGGAATTGCGCGGTTAATCGAACTATGGCGAAGTTTCGTGACGGTATGAAATATACGAGTAAAGTGGTATGGAATCTCATTTTCATCATCATCATCAGTCATCCTATTATGTGGCATATCATTGGACAGGTCTTTCAAAAACATTAAGTGGATGTATGGACTATTTTAATATTAGTAAAGTCAAGTCAAATAATCATTATATTATAACTACCATTGTCTCTGATAGTTTAAGAGTAATAGTCGTTCATCTCACAAAAAATACCTACTTTCTAAGTTTCTTCACACATCCCACACACGGCCGTCTGATCCTTAACTAGGCAGAGCTTGTACTATGATATCCAGACTGCTTGCTTGCGATACTCATATATTTCTAAATACATACTATATAATACTGATAAATAACACCTAGACACGGAACAAAGGACCGTGCTCATCACACAATTGTTTGTCCTGGGTGGGAACCGAACCCACGACCTCTGGCTTAGCAGTCAGGGCCACTAACTAAGGTCACTAAATAAAATACAAAATTCTTGGTCTAGGTTCCCTTCTACATCTACAGCTAAACTAAATGCTTGTTTTAGGAAAGGGTCCAGGTTAGTCTTTCTAGTAATCGGCGTATCGAGGCAATGGGCTATTGGGTGACCCTGGATCTTTTATGCCACGGGCCCCATGAAGAAGGTAATGTCGTATTTCTACAGAAAAAAATAAAATAAAATAAACGTTAATTCACAAATAACTAGAATTTCAGTTTTCTTTTTTTATTGCGGCGTAGTGCTGATTCATCTGTTCCTTGTGATGTAACTTGTACCAATAATTAAATTAATAGGTACATACAACATCTGTGCAAGTAACGGTTAAATAATGTAAGGGAACAGTCCACGATTTTCGCACACGCATGCTAGTATCTACCTAACCAGTACTGAGGGTCGTCACGGTCCTGATTACAATGACTATGACAAATTTATTGAATGCCTATCTATGTACCATGGATTACTTGCTGAGCAATAACAAATGAAAGTGAATGCGGAATTAATGCCAAAATGAACAAAGTACGCGACCAAGCGTGCATCCTGTGTGATAAAAGAGCAGCATCATGACAAAACATGCCACTTTTTGTGTACAATTTTAATGTAGTTAGTCAGTTTACAGATTTTCTCTTATGCGGTTTGACGGACAATTTAATTGAGATATCACACTGATCACAGCGTTTCATACTCGAAGTTATTTTAAATGAGAAAGTGAGATAAAATTGCAATATTATACAGCTAATGGACGAATATCAGGTGGTGCATTTAAATTCCATTCATTTTTCAGTATGTATTATTATTTTATCATAGAAAATTGTTTATTCTATTAATCTTTCCTTAGTATTATTGGTTTGTACCCATTCTAGTATACTGAATAAATAAATTAACAAGCATCTCACACAAATACAGAATAATTTACATATTTTGAAACAAGAACTATGCTATACCTATCAACAACAACAGTCAACAATGATATACCTACCTATTCATATATTGAACATAGGTATCCTACTTAGATCCCTTCCGGAAAACTGTAACTGTACCTATTAATAGTGTAAATGTATCAATTTGTCAAAAACATGTCCGCAACCCCACGAATCACAAACTGAACAAGGATTATATTATTTTTTAAAAATGACATTGCTCGAGATTCGTGACATAATACCTAATGTAATTCACTAGCTACCTACCAGCTATAGTACCAACCTATATATGCAGGTGACCATCTAGGTAAATGTCAAAATGTCAATTTAAGTGCAGCCTGTACTGTTGATTTAGATTAACGCTAAAACCTAGACCTTATTCAAAAAATACTTACTATTAATGTTGTTGCCTCTTTAAAGATACAAAATATGTAGGTTAAGTGATTACTTATACTAGTATCTATTTTAAAATTTTGTTTTAACTTAATTCATCGCTCTTAAAAAGCATCTTCGTAACCAATCAGTCGCGCACAATTTGACGTCTTTAGTATCTACTTAATTGAGATGTTAAGAACCACCGATATATGTGGAGCGATGAAAACACGATAACAATGCATCACACATAGCATACACATCATTTTGAACAGCTGCCGTCCAGACTTTCGCGGGCACCAATTCTTTCCTTTCCAACATTTATTAAAATATGTAAGTGCAAGAAGCGTGAAACAATTTTCTTTTTTTTTACGTCGCTCGCCCGACGTCCAACAATGGTTAGTCTGTTAGTCTGTGAGATGTGTATGAGCGTTGCGGTCGCTTAGTATTGTGTTTACCTACATTGTTCCGATACGCGGGTGATAGTTCTAGTGCTCATTGGCGCGGTTATGGAACCATCCTGGTCCTGAACATCGAGACAAATATGCACATCCTGGAGATCGGTGCTGATCAAGTAAATAAGTTGTTTTTAGATACGAGTATTTGTATACATACAGTGTTCTTGAAACTGAAAGTGTCCCTGTTTGTATTCTTTGCTGCTAAGATTATATTAATTGTTGAATAATAAATAAATTTAACAAATAAATATATTGACAGTGTATACTTATCATGTTTGTTACTTAATATTATTGAAGACTGTTTTTCTTGTTTCAGTAAACATTCTCAACTTGCGATATTATTTATTCATTTTATTAAGTTCGTATTTGTATAGATTTTTTTATTGATGAAACGGTTTTATATAGCTTCATGCTCCATTTACGTTTCATGTTGAGAAGAATGATTAAATAAGTAATTCTCGTAAATGTCAGAAGTCGTAAATCTACCGTCTTTATTAATTAATAAACACGGTAGCCAATAGCCAATTGGTTATATGGTATAAAATATAAATTCTAAACGATTATGTGTTTAGTATTAATGGGCACTTTAATTAAATGGCTTATTATTATCATGTTATTGGGAGTCTTTATTTTTCTATGCAGCCAAAACTAAGCGCTATTGGTTAACGAACTGATTAGTGTCCACAGCTCTACAAATTTGAAAGCACAAATCGCAAATTTTTATTAAATTTTGTTTTCTGACTTTTACAGACGTTTATAATGAAGTTTCCTCTACGAGTATACTTAATAGTTGATAATTATCATAAGATGACAATACACCCATAGAACTGATGAAATGTGTTAATAACGCTGACTATGCCGCCTACAAGCAGACTATATCAGACTAAAATGATAAAGCTAAAGAATGAGCCTTCATACAAATCGATTTCACTCGATTGTATGATACATGCTCAAGTCAGTGCAGTCCTAAAAGGGGTTTCCAAAGACAAAAAAATATGATTTCACACTTTTATTACTAATATGATAGGGATATGATATTTATTGTAAAATACATTTTTATTAGCAGTGGCTAGCTTGTCGATTTGTCGCAATAATTTTAAATAATAAGGGCCACTGAAATTATATAAAAAAAGAAAATGACCTGTACCTGACAGGTCATTTTCTTTTTTTTATATTATTTCAGTGGCCCTTTTCATTACAATTTGATAACCTCTTGTAGATAGTAGCTTGCAGTTACACGAAATAATTAAAATAATAAATATAAACAAACCAAGCATGATCGTACTAGAGAATCTAGAATACCAAGGTTGTGCGCGCTCTTTTACCGAAGAGGATGTCTTCCCGAATCCCGAACCTGGGTGGAATTATAACTTTGCATATACTGCACACTAACTCAGTTTTTTTAGATAATTTTATTCATTTGATACGAAACTTTCGAAGGTATGTCAATTCACTAGAAATTTTTGATTAGGTCTTGACATCTAATAAATACAAGGCCTTTTCGATGCTTACTACATCTTAAATTTAGAAATAACTTTTTCTCAACACGGCCTTAAACATTCTGTAGTAACTATCCACTTAAAAAGCGATTTCATACGTTTCTGTAACGACCGAAATAAATGAATGAAATAGGCGTAACAACTTGGATATAACACTAAACGCAGCGCAAACTAGTCATAAAAATTAAACATTCACTGCCTACGCTATAAAAGATTTATGTGTAACTAATCTTAATGTACTGTAGGAGTGGTGACACTCCGTATTCCTAATTCTTTCGATCTATATTACATTACTAGCTGACCCGCGCAACTTCGTCTGCGTCTCTCAATAGTACTAAATTTTCTCCGTTTTTGAAACATTCTTCATTGGTGTTCCGCTCCTATTGGTCTTAGCGTGATGATATATAGCCTATAGCCTTCCTCGATAAATGGGCTATCTAAGACTGAAAGAATTTTTTAAATCGGACCAGTAGTTCCTAAGATTAGCGCGTTCAAACAAACAAACAAACAAACAAACTCTTCAGCTTTATAATATTAGTATAGATTTAGAAATATATGTGTGGACGACAGTAGAATTGCCCTCTAGAATTGACTAGAATTAAAATCGGCAAAATGTAGGGATTTTATTATGTCTCTATATATCCCTTCGGGCATAAAGTCGTGAGTGTATGTATGAACTCAATAAACTATTGAAGCAAAAGAAGTGACCATTAACGCAGTTAATACTGCGTGAAATGGCCAGTATGAAGTAAATGTTGGAAGTAGCTAGTATAAAAAATAATTAAATGAAGGATTTTTAATTTATGGAAGAAAGAGTTAACTACATTGAAATAACCTATATATTCATTTACAGTAAGTTTATTTTATGGCACCATAAAGCATTTTAAATTTTGGTCTCTGTGCCGACAAACTGTTTTACAGTTTGGCAGACTTTATGTATGCAAAACATGTATAACTGATTTTAATAAATTAAAAATATTGCCAATTGGAGTCAGGATGTCAACATCTAAATTTTCCTTTTCAAAATAACTATTTATACAAACTATATTTTATATATTAATTGTATTACATATCTTTTATATTACATACTATTTTAAATTTAAAAGAAATCATGTCCTCGAACGTTTTAATGTCGATTTCTTCATAAAAAAATATACTAAGTAGGTATGTGCTATACAAAACTTTAATCTATTTCTGTACAAGATTTCACATGGCTCATAATATTACGGTTATCGACCCTTAATATTGAAACCCTACAACATAGTCATAGCCGTACGCGTAACTATGGTTCACAAGTCATATCACCTGTCAGTCTCTTCTTAATTACGTCAATATTTTCTTAGCGTTCCATGGATTCACCGTGCGGGTGCCGAGTCCATCGCGTGATAGATGGGGGATCCAACACATGAGACTTCGATAGCGCCTGGGAATTTCGACCCAGAAATAGGTTTAGGTTTAGGACGCGTCAGCGCTCACCTCCAGTGTCTGCTGTATTACCCCCAAGCAATGCCACTTTGGATATTGGTTCTGTAGTATCTGAATAAGTTAGACGTAATAAGTTAGAAGATACTTCTAAATGAGGCATCTGAGATTTCAGATACAAAATACGTATAACGTTTAAAAAAGTATCGACTTTAATGGGCCTACTTCTTGAATAATTGTATTAAAATGTAGTCTTCATTCCTTAATTTGGTTTCTTTGTAGATGGTATTTCGTCTTCAAATCTGAATGAAACGTATACCCTCCAATAAATAACTAGGTTCATAAATGCCAGATTTACAGTTAATACAATCGATGTTTTTGATGATGATTCGATGTTGCATCCATGTTGATTCAAATCACCATGGTCATATTCACTTGGTTATTTATAAATGGGATGTTTGCATGCGTGTTTATTTTCGGGAACCAGTTTCCTTTATTTCGGCACTGTTGACTAAATCTATTCTCTCAAATAAACAAGGTAAATATGTCATTTATAATAACTTACCAAGTAATACAATCTAATTAAGAAATTCCTCCTTTTTTAGGGTTCCGTTCCTCAAAAGGTAAAAAAGGAACCCTTATAAGATCACTTTCTTGTCAGTCTGTCCGTCTTTCCGTGTGTCACGTCCGATTTTCTCAAGAACGGGTAGACCCAGCAAGTTGAAATTTATACCAGATACTGATGTCTATGATCCCTATTAGGTGTATAAAAATCAAGGTCCTGAGTAAACACGATAAAATGATATGGTCAAATTTCGATTTTCGCGAAAACTTGTAAGTACCAAATTTTACCTTAATTTTCAACTTTTTTTATTTTTCAGAATTTTCTCTTTACTTGTGCTGTAAGATCTTGCTTTTAACCAAAATTGACAATTCTAGGTCAACCGGAAGTACCTTATAGCTTTTGGGTCGAAAACCTATATGGTAGTTCCCGTTGACATAGAATCACGAAATTTGGCAAAAGAAACGTCTTACAGCACAAATAAAGGAATAATTCCAAAAAATAAAAATACTCGTACCTGACCAGTTTTTTTTTAGATCGGTTAATTTTTTCACTCCATCATCATCAACAGCCTATAATAGTCCACTGTTTGTGTCAAGTTTTAATTCTCTTTATAATGTTGTTGCCCTGCGTAGTTTCCTCCCTTAATGGTAGCTGAATAGGGGTGGTAAAACCTGTATTTTTAATCTGTCGCCACACGGACGGAGATATTTCACTTACTTACTTATTTTAATCACTACACTACTACTACTGCAGTAGGTTAAATAACCCAACCCTAAATCTTCACAACCTATTGATCGGACACACCAGGACCTTCTATTGTGCGTTGACCTACAATACGTTACTCCAACTTAACCAGATAGATACTACCGCAATGCCTTTGAGACACTCCCATATTCTCCAATCAGCCCTACCTTCTATTGTAGTCTGATGTGCCCGTTGAATAGATCACGTAATCATTTGATCAGTGAATAGATTAAATTAGTGTTAGCGAGTAACATATTATTGAAGGAGTAGGTACTTTGTGTCAGTTCTTCACAGCTTCACTTGCATTTAGGGGTACTGCATAGATCCTAAGCTTCTTATCGTAATGTCTCATAGTATAGAAACTTCTTCAGCAGGGAATCTATCTAATTCAAAATAATAATGGAAATCTGAGTGCCAATTTTAGAGAGTAGCGTGCCTAGCAAAGAAAACCAAACAGCCATTTCGTAAAATGTGTTTTACAGCGTATAGCCGTGTCGGGGTAGATATTTATTTTTTTATTTTCCTTATTGTAGAAAGAAGGTGCAAAATAATAGAAATGTCGTTTCGCCAGTTTTAGTCTACATTTTTCTGTTGCAGTAGTAGTTTAGTAACTTGTGTTGGGTCAAGTATTGTTGCCGGGGTAAAAAAATTGCCTATATGTCATTCCAGACTATAAGCTATCTTTGTGCCAAAGTTTGTTCAGTTATTTTGGAGTTAAAGAATAACAAACAAACCCTATACCAAGCCGTCTGGCCAGCGTGGTATAGTAGGCCAAAATTCCTTTCTAAGGAGACGCCTATGTCCAGCATTGGACTATTAAAGGCCGTTGATGTGATGTATGATGTGAAACATCCATCCATGAAATCTCTCACACTCACAATAGTAGCAAGAAGTATCGATTTAAATTATTTAAAACAGTATCATCTATATGACAGAGAAATTAATAGTGTAAACTGAATAATTCTACGTCAAGCTGTGGCAGTGTATTTAACTGCAACGTCAGAGGTCACGGGTTCGACGCCCGGTCATTGCAAACATTTATATGCATTAATATGTCTATTTGAATTTAACGGTTTCTATATAGAAAGTAAAATAATTATGAAAATTAATAAACTGATATCAAACCTAAAGGAATGAGTTTTTCTTGCTGATATGAAGTACTTGATTTAGGGCCTGTTTTTTTTAAGAATTTTAGTTATATTATTATTAGTTACAGTTATAGTAAGTTTATACGTTTGCTTCAGGATTTACTACTAATTTGCTTTATTATAAAAATAATAGGTAGGGTACTAGTGTACCAGATAAAGATATTTTTCCAGGAATGCGTTATCGCCGTAAACACTCGAATTAATAGTTATATTCGTATGATTGAAGCTAATACACAGGTATATGTATATGAACAAATCGATAATTTCATTTTGATTCAGTTTTGATGTTTCTTCGGTTTAACTTAGGTTTAGCATAATACGGTACACATAACGACACTGAAATCCTTTCTTAGCATAAACGTTTAACATCACAATAGAACAGCCTTTATACTATCAATGCTCTTAATACGTTATTGTTCATCAATAGATATTTTCGTTTTTTACTCATATTGAAGCTTATTGTTACCAAAAATTCTAAAATTTTCAAAATATCTGGTAAATGAGATTTCACAGTTTACTATTACTGTGAATAATATTTCTGTTTTCATAACAAGAGCCCCTGTTAACAAATAACAGATTAAGCACATAGTATGTACAGGTTTACCTAAGACCGAAATAAGCATAACTTGCACTAATCATTCAAGAACTAATACTAATAATTAAAGATGTTGTTATTTTGTAAATTCATACATGTTATACCTAAAAACACCAGGACTAATGCAAAAAGGGGGAAATCAAACCCGAAGCCTCCGACGACCTACACTAATGATATTTAATACCCCATACTTAGGTAACTTTAGCCTAAATATCCTTGTAGGGTAATGTTAATATACCTTTCATCATCAACAGCCTCTCGCAATGCGCAACAGCTACTGCTGGACATAGGCCTCCTTAGTACCTAGGCCAAAATTAGGTTTATTTAATGAGGTATATTGATTAAAAACTCATTTATTTTTTATTTTAGGAGGATGAGGGAGTCAGCACACGTGCAGCAGAGGCTGCTTTTCGGACGGTGACACGAGATCACACCGCATTCCTTATATGGAGAATCACGGTAAGTAAATATGTATTTTCAACTTACACCACACCTATAACCTGTGTACCAACCGGAACCAAGCAGCGGTGCAGGTCGTAAGTCTGTCCAAAGTTCTTAAAATATCATTAGAAAACCATCTGAGATATTTTCAATGGGCTCTCGATTGTAGAGATTTTACCTCCTATAAATAGAGATGTAAGTGTAGGTTGTTTATCCTATTCACAGAAGACCTATAATATTTACCTTCCGAGATAACATAGTAATGCAAAACAAACATCAGTAGTATCAAATCTGTTTCCACGGCAACAACAAAACTTTTCGTCTAATAAAATGGTCCTTGAACAAATTCAAAGTGAAATAAGACTGTCTCGTTTTTCTCCAAGCAACGAATAACTTTTTTTTTTTTTTTTTTTAACGTGTGGAAATCCCCTCGGACCGTCACCCCTCCGGGGTTTGCGGCGGGGTGGTGTGTCGGACTCGGACCGACTAAAACCACACGGTGTGCCACTCTGCGCCTGTAACAGGAGGGATCCGGGAACAGCTGTTGTTAAGACATCCGGACCCCTCCTAGCGCCAGCCCGCTCCTGGTGCGGGCTCCGTCTCAATGTTTTTCCTCTCTTTATAGGCGACGTCCGGCACACGCGGACGCCGCCCCCTCGCGGCTGGCCAAACTGAGCAACGAATAACTAAATTAACCTATCACGCAAAGCCGGCATTAAATTAGAAAGATAATGCCAAGATAATTGCATACTCATCGCTGTGCTCTTTGTTCGTAAAAAAATTCACTTTCACTGTTGAAGACATGTCTTAGATATGATTTGATTCATTTTTGTGATGTATGTGTACAGTATGTGTACAGTTATTGAAACTACCTACAAATTGAAATAATGGAATGCCGACGCGTGTATTACATATTACACTCTCAAACAAAAGTCATTAAGTTATGTAAATGTACGCAGTACTTACCTACAATATTAACTAAAACATATCGGTATTGACGGAAATAAAAACTACTACTATAAAACTAGCAAGTTTTTTTGGTAATTAGCGATAATAGTTAATATTCATCATCATCAACAGCCTCTAATTTTCCACAGCTGGACATAGGCCTCTTCTTAGAAAAGAGGTTTCAGTCTACTGTACCACGCTGGACTGTCGGGCTGGTATAGGGTTTATGTCAAGTTTTCCTTCTCTTTACAGTGCTATTGTCCGGCATAGTTTGCTCCCTTAGTCGGCTTTTACGACACCCACGAGATGAATAAGGGCTGTGAACTAATAATAATTGTTAAAACAATGTTATTTGACAACAACATTTTAATGAAGAGTTCAAAAATTTAAAGGTTGTAATTTGCATGTATATAAAAAAGATACTCCATTTATCAGATACATAAATTATACAAGATGTGTCTGCGCAATTATCCACCTATAAATGTAGAAATAGGCAAAAAATATAATTCAAAATATTTTACTCTTATTTTTTAATTGATATTCTTTTTACCACCACTAGTTTAATAAATTGAATATACTTAAAAATCTATATACATATATTCTTTAACATGGATATGACGTTCAATTGCGTAATAAAAATATGGAATTGATTTAGTCTAGATTAAAGCTGCTATAAGCAGATTCCACACTTAGGATAATAATGTGTAAAGAAAAAGAGAAAAACTAAACTTTTAAATTTCAATTTAACATCTCAGCCATTCAATTTAACGAGTAGCTAAGTGAAAATGATTTAAGTTCTTAATTACGTTAATTTTATAATTTTATTCCTATTTTATTGTCCTACTACTAAGTTTAAAATAAGAGTAGTTTAAGAATACCTCGTAGTTAGAAGCCAACAAAATTACGAGAGGTAACACTTTTTCGTCTATCCTTAGTTAGCTTTATTAATTATCTATTCTCGCGTAAACGACATTTGTAGGGATATTTGTTACCTTTTAGGCAAGAGGGATTTTATGCACATTAGAATAACACATCCTAATATTTATAAAGACGTATGACATGATGAATGACTTTTAATTCCACTTGTACTAAGCCGCGGCAGCTAGTTTTAAAACGTAACTAACTCAGGTAATCTCAAACAGTGCCCTTTTTTTAAAGAAAAATATACACTAAACAAATACAAAATTCTTTAAAGAATAATTATTGAAAGTATGTACACCTGTATACTTTAACTGTTAATAATATTTATTCAGGCGCAATCACTTCACGTGATATTCTTTGTTCCACCTAATCAAAGAATCATCCTTCGTGTGGAGGTACTTCGGTCATCAATACTTACTTTTTCGCAATTGCCCGATTAAAGTATGCTAACATTGAAAATACTAGAAATGTAAATGACAAAGAGAATTAACAAAAGAAATCACAAATGGATATGCACGGTATGTTTATCTTTGCGTATTGTCTGTTTCCTTAAATTAGTAGGGCGTGTGAAAGGTCAACACACCATCATATTGTTTCCTCACGTTTTGTGGAGCTGCGTAATGCACCGAGATCATAGTGAACTGTAAATGTCGCAATTGTGAGTTGCCCACGGAGATTTCATGAGAATGCCTTAACCTCGACTCAGTCGACTACATAAGTGGTTAAGTAAACCCACCTGAACGTTATAGTTTTGAAATGTAAGAAAACATAACGCCTTAACTTTAAATCATCATCATCATCATCAGCCTATCACCGTCCACTGCTGAATAAAGGAGCGCCAACTATCCCAGTCATCGGCTGCCAGCCACTTTCTTTAACCTTGAATACCTACATTATATTAATTACTTAACTTCAGAGACGGGACACTAAATTCAGTAGGTACCCAGAATAAAGTTATAAGAATAAATAAAGTACCGTCTTACTCATTAAAAATCAATTTGCAATCTCTGATCCCAAAAATCTGGTGATAAGTTAAATTAATTTTAACTCCTAAGTTTTAAAACATTACATCATCATACGCTGTGTAGACAATTTTTAGATAGACATAAAATGTAAGTACCTAACCAAACACACGGTTACTACAAAGAAAGTAGATAATTATTATGCTTAATTTTGGCATTTTATCAGACACAAAACACTAAATCGTCGTTAATTTACCTAAATACCAAGTAAGAAGAGAAAGTATACAGTTAAATGTGAACAATTAATTGCAAGAAGTTAAACTCAGTGCCGCTGCGCAAAGGCATCACGCTCGTTGGGCGCGCGCAATTCGCTACAACTACTTACCTAGACGACATACGCAAGAACATTTATATATACATATTTTATTAAACTGTATGTTAATATATTGCGTAAACCACTATCAATTTCAGACTGGGCTTTTCGACGAGTAGTTTGTGATCCAGACTGCTAAGTCGGTCGTGAGTTCAATTTTCACCTAGGACACGTAATAGTGTGATAACCAAGATTATTTGTTCTGTCATCATCAACAGCCTATAACAGTCCACTGCTGGACATAGGCCTCTCCTTAGAAAGGAGGTTTTGGCCTACTATACCACGCTGGCCATACGGGTTGATATAGAGGTTGTTTCAAGTTTACCTTCTCTTTGCAGTGCTGTTGTCCTTCGTATTTTGCTACCTTATTCGGCTCTTAGGACACCCATTGGATGTATAGGGGTGGTGATATTCCGTATTCTTAATCCGTCCCCACACGGATTGTTCTGTGTCTGGGTATAATTTATCTATAATATGTATGTATTTAGAAATATTTAAGTATGTTTCTCAGCAGCCTGATTGTCATATTACAGGCCCTGCCTAGTTTGGGATGTGACTGCGGTGTGTGAAGTTCATTATAATTTCATTTGACCTACGGAGACAATGTAGTTATTAGTAATCGAATAAACTCAACATTGTTATTAAATTGTCTATGGTTTGATGTTGGTTTCTCCTCATTAGTTTGAAATTACCACTAGCCTTTTCCAGTTTCCGGTAAAAGTTAATGGACACTACAGAGCACGGAGCCTACATTATCACACTGTCTCCACCTTCCCTGACGTGTAATCTATGTTTAATAGTGGTTGTTAGGACTTTACTCCTGAGAATGTCCGGAGATAATCAAGTTTAGAAATAACCGCTAACTTAGATATTTGCCGATATAATTAAGTAAGATTCACTATTGGAAACAATAGGTGAGACGCTGCTAGAAGGTTCATATTTATTTTATGTTCGACCAGGAAAACGTCACTTTGTTCCTCTAGTATTAAATGTGTGTGTTACTATAAAAATGTACAAAACACACAATATACATAAATTTGAGACCTTTTTGGCAACTGGATAAATTATCTAATACTGTTTTTCATACCAAAATATTTTTTATTTGATTACATATTTAAATGTTTACTTCGTTTTAAATGTTTTTCTAATTATGACATTTCGTTGCAAATACACCAATAAAAATGTTTGTAAAGTTGATTTTGTTACATAATAAATATAGTTTTCATTAGATAAATCTGTTTTATTCACATTTCTCTAACATTTTATTAGGGTTCCGTACCTCAAAAGGAAAAAAGGAACCCTTACAAGATCACTTTGTTGTCCGTCTGTCTGTCTGTCCGTCTGTCAAAACCCTTTATCTCAGGAATGCGTAGAGGTACTGAGTTGAAATTAAAGCCGTAAATACTCACTCGTAAATACTCAGGTGTACAGCCTTGAAACTGTGAAAAAATCAAACTTTTAAGTTAACTAAAAAAAGCCGGCCGTTTAGGCCGATACGTTCGAGGAAGTAAAATTTATAGAGTACTTCTCGTTGACCTAGGACTATTAAATTTGGCAAGTAACATCGTAACATCTACAAGTACCGGGAAAATCTGAAAACTATACATTTTAAATTAAATCAAAAATAAAATTTCAATGATTTTCGACTCAGAATGCTGGTCTGAATGCATTATTTCAGTATTCGTTACGACGTCCCTTACACTCTGCATAGTTTTTATTTAAAGTAGTTAATCAATTATCGAGGTACAATTTTACTTATAAAATACAACAATATAAGTAATTATAGGATTTGGAAACTGAATTTCGGGAAAAGT